AGGCAGTAGGAATAGAATTATAATTACTAGTCTTTTCTTATAGCCAGTTCTATATGGCAGCCTTACGGGTTATCTTATAAGTAGGGCTTTATATTCTTTTACTCCCTAATATAGACTATACAAGTAATATAGTATATCCAGAAATATTATAAGGTCTTACTTAGCTTTTGATTTACTTACGGGTAACTTTATATACTTACGGGCTATTTTCCTTCTTATATTATCTATAAAGGGTCTATAAAGAGTCCGTATCTAATTTATATACTTAGCTAAAACCCTTTACTAACCAAGTCATATGACTTTGGCCAGGGCCTTTATTATGTAATATGCCCCTTTTAATTCCAAACCCACTCGGGACAAGTTTAGGGCAAAATTATTAATTGGCCCCGGAGCTTGTATAGGGCCGCTAATTAATAATTTTAGCGAAGCGGCCCTAAACTCGTCCTCTTCTATATTGTCCTATATTCGGACCACCCTAAGTAGTTGGCTCTCGGGGCTCTGTAGAAAAAACTTTCACGTAACGAATACCAAAATCTCTCTTCTAGAAAATCGCATATCGGAACATAATTACGTCCAAATCCTTAGGGCTCAGCTTAGGATAAGAGAGGAGAAGCTCAAGTACCTTTCTCTATATTTTAGTAGTTCTGGAATGCGAGGGGCTTTTATTACGATTTTTTAAAGCTCGGGAGGAGGGGGGGGGGATTCTCAAGGCTCTAGCTAGCTCTCGGGACTCCCTAAAAATCCAAGTCACGTGAGGAACACCAAAACTCTTGCATACTATATACTACTATTCTAATGCCTAGCAAGCTTAAGGGAAGTTCTACGGGTATAAGAGAAAGCTTTATAAAAAGAATAAGGCTATAAGGTTTTATATAAGAAGAAAGAGGAAGCTTTATAAGCTTATAAGATAGCTTAGAAAAAATAATAAATAAAAGAAAGGGCTATAATAAATTATAAAAAAAAGAAAAAGCTTATAAATATAAAAAATAAGAATTAAGAAAAAAACTATAAAAAAAAAGTATAAATAATAAGAAACTTATAGAGGTAAGTAAAAACTTAAAAGGGCTTATAAAAGAAAAAGTAAAGGCTATAATAATTTATAAAATAATTTTTATTAATATAAATAAAGCTTTTAAAAAGTTTATAAAAAGAAGAGAAAAAAGCCTTTATAATATATAATGATTTATAAGAATTTATATAATATAATAGTTTTATAATATATATAAGTAAAAGCTATAATAATTTATAAAAAAAAGTAAAAAGCCTTTCTAAATATAAATAAGGCTTAGAAAAAAGAGATTAAAAAAAAGATTTAAGAAAGCCTTTATAAAATAATTTTTTTTTTATAATTTATATTAGAAATAAAAAATAAAAATAAACTAATTTCAAAATATTAAATATAAGTTCTTATATATAATTAATAATTTAAATAATTTAAAGAAATTATTTTAAGTTTAAGGTTTAAGAATTTATAAAATTAATTATTTGAAAATATAATATAATATAATAAATATATAACTTAAATTATTTATTAAAATAGCCTTTAAATTAAGAAATATATTTTTAATATATTTAATAATATAATTTCTTTTAAAAAGCTCTTTTAATTAAAGTCTTTTAAAATTATTATATAAAAATTATATTTAATATTTAAAACTTTTTTTTAAAATAAACTTATATTAAAGAAAACTTATTAACTTTTAATAATAATTTATTTTAAAAACTTATAAATAACTTAAAATATTAATAAAAGAATTTAAAATTAAAAATAAGAATTTATTAAAATAAATAAAAATACTATATAAAGCTTAATAAACTTTTATTATTTTGTAATTTATATATATTTAAATTAATTTTTTAAACTTATTTATTTTTATTTTTATTTAAAATACTTATATTATAAAATTTAATTTTATTAGACTTATATTATTAAGATTTAATAATTATAAATTTTAATATATAAGATATTTTTTATATATTTTATAATAATATAAAATAAGCTTATATATTAAATAATATTTTAAATTTAGATTTATTATAATTTTTATTCTATTAAATTTAATATTTAAAAGAATTATATTAATATTATATATTTAATTAAAATACAAATTAAAAGAATATTTTATATAAAGAAATAAAAAAGCTTTATAAAAATACTATTATTTCTTATTATAATAAAAAGGCTTTTTATAAATTTTAATTAATTTCTTTATATAATTAATATTAGAAATAAAAAATAAAAAATAAATTAAACTAAATATATAAAATACAAGTTTTTATATATATAAATAACTAAAATATATAATAAATAATTTTAATAATTTAAAGATTTTATATTAAATTTAAAGTTTAAGAATTTATAAAATTAAAGTTCTTATTAAAATAATTCTTAAATTAAATAATATATTTTTAATATATTTAATAATATAAAGTCTTTTATATATATAGAATTTTATATTATATTTAAAGACTTTTTAAAATAAATTTATATAAATATTTTATATTAAAGAAGAATATTATTTAATATTAATAAAAGAATTTTAAAAAGAAATTAACTTTAAAAGTAAAAATTTATTAAAATAAATAAAAATATTATATAAATATAATTTAAATCTTAAATAAAGCTTAATAAACTTTTGTTTTTTTTAAAAAAAAAATTTATGTATTTTAAATTTTAATTAAGAGAATAGTTTTAGCTTATTTTTAAATAATTTTATATATTTATAACCTATTTTCTTTCTTATATAATTTATTAAAAGTTTATAAAAAGTTTATTACTAAGAAAGTATTATTTAAAACTACTCGGGACGAGTTTAGGGCAAAATTATTACTAGCCCCGGAGCTTGCAAAGGGCCGCTAGTAATAATTTTAGCAGAGTAGCCCTAAACTCGTATAATAATACTAGTAGTTTTCTTAATTTCTTAAATACTATTTTACTTATACTATTCTATAACTATTTCCTTTTCTAGTTTTATATCTATTTTAAAATATTTATTTATAAATACATACTTATTATTAACTTTATTTTTAGGGAAATACTAGAATCTATTTAAATTAATTCCTAGTATATATCTTTTGAAATATAGTATTATTAAGCTTTTTTAGTATATAGTATTCTTTTAGTTACTTCGTATATCTTATTTTATATAGGCTAAACTAGTAGTATAATAGTTTCGTATTTCTTAACTTATCTTAATTTATTAGTTTAATATTATATATAAGAACTAGATTCTTTTTAGAAATAGACTTTAAATAAATCTAGTAAATAATATTAAATTATTTCTTTTCTTTTTAGTATTTTCTATTTTTTTTATTCTAGTTTCTTTAATATTTTTATTTCTTATTTATATTTACTTTATATATATTTCCAAAAATATTTTTTTATTATAAACTTTATCTTATCTAAATATTCTCTAGATTAGAAAGTATATTTCTATAAATAATATAGCTTTTTTATTATAGATTATATAAAAAGAAATAAATCTAGTTAATTTATATATAATAACTTAATTAGTAAATAGAATATAGTATAGTAAATTTATTTAAGGCTTTTTTCTATTTATTATAAATATAATAAATATTTAAATAATTAGTTAATATTCTCTTTTAATTATACTATTTTTTTTGAAATTATAAGCTAAAATATTAATTTTATTAATTTTTAGTTTATTAAGTTCCTGAAAAAAAAATTTAAATTCTAATTTACTATTTACTTTAAGCTATCTAAATAAATTATATCTATAAATAATTTCTTCCTAAATAAACTTAGTAATCTTCTTACTAGTTAGGTTTTTTTAAAGGTCTAGCTTTAATTTATTCTAAGAAATTATCTCTGGTAATAACTAATAAGTTATATTCTTTATAATCTAGTAATTTAATTATATTAATCCTAAGATAATAGAAAAGAGATATAGTTTTTATTAGATATAAAGCTTTTTTTTATTTTCTTTTATCCTTATACTAATATATTTTTATATATAGTTATAGTAATTTTTCTAGTAAAAATAGCTAGCTACTAAATAAAAAGTATTTTCTTTCTAGTATATCTAATCTTATTATATAGTTTTTTAATACTAATTTCTCTTTATTCTTAGTTATTAATAATAAGTTAAAATAGATATACTTTAAATATAACTCTTTATAGTAATTAATCTCTTATACTATAATTTAAAACTTCTTTATTTAACTTTTAAATCTTGATTCTAGATATTTTTTCTAATCTAAAAAGTATTATAAGATATTATATAGTATTCTAGTATTATTTGAAATAGCTATTATTTAAGAAATCTAATAAAATAGTCGGGTTATTAAATAAAGTATAGAAGTTAATATTATTATTTATTATTTTACTAGAAGTTATATATAAAAGGCTATAGCCTTTACTATATAACTTTCAGATATTATTATTTTTTAATATTACTAATTTACTTCTAGATATAATAAGGCTTTAATTATTAATTTTTAGTAACTAGATACTATTATCTAAATATCTAATAAAGGTTTTAGGAATCTAATTTCTTAAAATAATATTATATAACTAAACCGGAATTACTTTTTTTAATTAAACTTTCTATCTAATAAGTATTATTCTAATAATATTAAGCTTTATTACTAACTATTTATTAATATCCTTATAATCTTTAGTATTACCTTCTTATTATAAGTATCTCGATAATTTATTAGTAATAATATACTTGGTTTCTTTAATATATTTAATTTTAAAATTAAATAGTTAAATTTATATTAGCTAATAAGTGACTAGAGCTCTAGAAAAATCTATAGCTACTTTATTTAGCTATATAATAAGTATATTAGTATCTAGTTTAAAAATAAAATAAACTTTATATAGCTAGAATTATACTTTCTATAAATATTTTACTAGCCTTTAGTATTCTCTCTTAATAATATTATATTTCTATTTAGTATTATTCTAGATTCTAGACTTATATTATATAACTTTCTTTTTTCCTTTATAATTATATTAACTAAGAGTTCTGGCTTATTTATCTAGGCTATGGCAACTTCTGTGAAGGAAGGCAATACGCCTACATCACGTGATGGTGATGCCATTTTACCTCAAAAGCTCTTAGCTAAAAATTAAAAATTAAAATTAAAAAATTAAAATTACAAGGTTCCGTAACTTAAGAAGGTAGAATCTCACTCTTAATAATTGCCTGTACGAATATTATCACGGATATATCTAAAATATGTACTGGTCTCATCCTTCTTCTCTCCTTTCATCCTCCCCCGACGAGGATGGATCTTGTCATTGGGGTCAGTCCACCAATCCTCGACGATCTGAGCTTGCTGCTCCAAATTCATATCCTTGAAGGGTAATCCAGCATCTGGATAATCGTACGATGTACTTCCTCTCAACTGGGATGCAAGTGCATCTGCGAGAAGCGATAATTGGAATGGGGTGTGGTGGATCTGCCAGGCATGTACAAGTTCATGGATCAAAGTAGGTTGATTAGACTGCGGATTTTCGAACATGCCCGGCATGCCGCCGACGTTGAGAGTGATTGAACCATCCGACATGGGGAAGGTGAAGGCGCGACCATCTTTGCCTTTGGTATCGGTGATGCGAATCTTGTCACGAGGCGGAAGGGTCCCGTTGAAGACCTCATTGTTGGCCCATCGATAGTCCTCCTCTGAAATAACCTTGGAACGGGATCCGGCCGAGGCGATTCCACCTGCGGCAATAGCAAGCAGAGTGTTTCCTGGACCAGCCATCCAGAGAACTCCGTTGAGAATACGAGCCCCTGGGACGAGAGATCCAGTCATCACTAAAGAGCCGACTTCCACTCCGATAAAGATTAGGATTCCAACTCCATCCAGAAGACTTCCAACAGACCACTTGACAACCGTGTTGATCAGACTTTCAAAAGTAGATTGAAATCCACTAGTGTACACCACGCTGATGGCAAAGGTGCCATTTGCATAGTCGTCGTAGTGCTTCTGTATGAGTCCGATGTAGTCCTTGTCATTGGTTTGATCCCAGGGATCATCTCGTCCGCTGCTCCCAATGATATGTCCTGAGACATGGCCAGAATGGACCAATGTGATCGGAGCCAGGTTGGATTCGGGGCGCGGCCGAAGAATACCGACCACGCCATAGTCATAGTCGTCCGCACCGCTGTCATGTCCGTCTCCGTTCCATCGGATCGATCCTTGCTCTTTCAATGTGATGGAAGTCCAACCGCCAAGAGCAGCAAGCCCACCACTGAGTATAGGAGCGCCAAATCTCTTCGTTCGGAAGTCGTACCAGTAACGATCACTAACACCGCCGTCTGACGCTGCGTACCAGATCTCCATGGTACCTGGTTCCCGAGATACGCCCATTAATTTGCCGTTCGGCTTCGCACTGCCTCCGGGTAAAGTTTGAAACACATTCCAGGACGGCATACCTTCGTACCAGTAGGCATTAAACATGGCACCGTTGGGAGCAATCCAGAAGATCTCTTCTGTACCAGAATAGCGATGAAGAGAACAAATTCCGGTTGACAAAGACGCGGAATCATGTCCGGCCATCTGATACCTCGTCCATGGAGTCTTTCCCTCAACAATAAAGGCTCCCTCCAAGGATCCTTTCGTTGAAACCCACCACAAATGAAGTACATCTGATCTTCTCGACTGGGCTCTGAGACCGCCTCCGATGACTGCGCTGCCAGGCCCGGCTCCTTCCAACTGATATCTGTGCCATTCTATCTTGTCGTACATCCATGAGCCTTGAATGCTTCCATCGGTCCCCGTCCACCATACTTCCATTGCTTTTGGCTCTCGTGAAACAGCAGTCAGGCCACTTGCCGGGTGTCAAGGCCTGAAGAGGCTTGTGCGGATAATATGGGTGTATATTGGTATAATAGTAAGGAATGATGGTGCCCTGAAGGCGGGGAAATAGCTATATATAGGCCTATGTGTGGCCTGTGCGTAGCACGTGACACCGGGGCAGCACTGCCTAGCGGGGCTAGCTGATAACGCTGCCAACCAAGGGAATTATCATACCAGAAGGCAGATTCGATCGAGCCCCTGGGTGAGATCCACCAAACTTCCATATGGCCTGAGGCCCTGGAAACCGCGCAAATCTTGGAGCCTCGAACTGCTTGTCCGGGAGGGGCGAGCTGGTAATATTGCCAATTCTTGCCATCATCGTACCAATACATGCCCTCAACTGATTTAGTTGGAGAGATCCACCATCCCTCCATATGGGTTGGAATGCGCGAGAGGAAAGCGATCCCGCCCACTGCTGCGGCACCAGCTGGCGCCATCTCAAAGCGGCCCCAAGTTCCGTACCAGAAATAGTCAATAACAGCTCCATTGGGGGCAATAAAGAAAATTTCCATATGTCCTGGAATTCGTGACACGGCAGCAATATCACTTCCGCCTGCCAAGGTATGCCCCGGGGCAATGTTGTAAAGGTCCCATCCAACCATCGTGAAACTGGTAGAAACTTCGGGAGGAAACTTGAAAAGAATACTTGAGACTTGATATGAATGAATTGGTTTGGATTGAACTATTGGTACGGCTGATGAGGGATAATCTTCAGAGGTTGAATTTTAAGTCCTATAAGTATTTTAGGGTTGCGAAGGGGGGGGGGGGGGTTAGGGGGTCTCAGAAAGAGCAACCCTCAAACAAAAGCAAATCCCGAGAGGGCAACGAGTCGGGAAGCTTGTAAGAGAGCCAAGAATTGTCGTATAGCTTGGCATAAGCCCCTCGAGAGGTGTCAATGCATTTTGGCGCAGTCGAGACTCGCCATCGTAGACTTGGCGGTTTCTTCAAATCCAGGTAAAGTTACACGTATCTCTACTCGTATAACCGGCCACTCACTTGGGTCGATTTCAGCCCTATTTCAAGGCTGGAATCAGCTGAGCGCGCCACCCGGATTTCACCGTGGATGTGAAGCGCTAGAATGGAAATCACCGCGCCAAGGAAGAAAAAGGAAAGCGAGGCTAAGGAGCATGAAGACTTTTAATATTTCGATATAAAGTAATTGTATAGAAAAAGAGCAAATAAACGGCCCTTAATAAAACGCTCAGCTCTTGGCTATAATACTTGCTTTTTAAGTTATAAGGGTATTAAGGCTGTGCGGTAGTTGGTTTAATAAGGCAGCTATTATAACTGCTTATAAAAACCAAAGATTTTTATATTAATTTTATAAAAACTATTATTTTTCCCTTATATATACCTCGATATTAATTAATTACAAATAACTTTATTAAAACTCGCTTAATTAAAAAGGTAAGTAAATATAATTAAAGCCTTAAAATAAGTTTTTTTAATTATAAAAAGAATTATACTTTTTAAATATAAGGTAAATATAATTAATTAATACTTTTATAATAATATATAATATAACATAAAAGTAAAGGGTTATTTTATATTAAATATTATTTATAAGTATTAATAATTAAAATAAAAGAATTATTTTATTATTTTATTATATTTATTATATTTAATTTAAATAAAGTAATAAACTTCTTATATATAAAATTTAATATAAAATTAAATGTTTTATAAGTTTTAAGACTTTAAAAAAAATATAAAAAAAATATTTTAATATTTATTATTAGTTTACTAATAATATAAAATACTATTATTTAGATATAAAATACTAATTATATAAGTTAATAAAGTTGTTATATTTTATAAATAAAGATTATAATATTAAGGTTCTAATATATAATTCCTAAATATACTAAATCTAACTAGTACTAGTATCCGGTATATCTTATTACCTATATATAGGAAACCAGATTATATAATATAAATTATATAATCTCTAGGAAACTAGTTATACTAATACTAGTAACTATTTAAAAAACGCAAAAAATTAATATAAAAGTATAAAAAACATCTAAAAAACAGTATTTTTTATTTATATATAAATTTCCTAATCCGGTCTAATACTAGATTATTTCTAAATATTTAATATATTTTCTTATATATCTATTTCTCTTATTTTATATATCTCTATTTATATTTAATTTATTTTTTAATATTTAATTATATAATATTTATATTAATTAGATATTTAAGAATATTTAAAGGCTTTAATTTTATTATTAAATTAGTAGAATTTAATTCTTTTTTAATTTATTTAATTTCTATAATCTCTTATTATTTATAAGCCTAGTAAAAATATATTATATTAATTATAAATCGCTTTTCTTATATAATTTCTAGCTTAATTAGATATTTATAAAATAACTAATAGGATTTCTATTACAAATATTCTATTAATTATAGTCTTAACTAAATTACTTATATTAAAACCATAAGCTATATTATATAATTTGGAAGCTAGAATACTTTTAATAACTCTCTTATATTTTATAAATATTATAGGCTAAGCCTTTATATAAAGAAAACTAATAGTTTTAATATAAAAAGAAATAATTAAAGAGAAAAAAAATCTCGCTTTTATATAAGCTAAATATATATAGGCTATATATTTCTATAATTATAGTAATAAAGGTTATATAACTTATATAGCCAAGTTTAAATTATAAATCTAATCTATTATAATAAATAATTAATAAATAATATTAATATATCTAGAACTATTTATTAAAACTAGAATATATCTAATTTAAAAAAAGAAATCTTAATTACTTATAAAGAAAATATTTATAAAAATAATTAAATATAAAAACTTCTTATTTAGCTTTATAAAATATAGTTTTCTAATAATATTTTCGATTTATTATTAAATATATTTATTAAGGGCTTTAATATTAGTTTCTATAGATTTAATAGCTTAAATAACTATTAAATAGTTATATAAAGCCTCTAATTAATAAGTTAATATAATATATATTTCCTAAGCTTATTAAATAATATATTATTTCTTAATTATAAGATTTTAATATATAATATTCTTATTACTAGTTATAATTATATTCTTAACTATTATTAAATAGAAATTACTATACTAGTATTCTTATATAAGAGTATACTAGTAGAATTAGTATAAATAATACTTTTATTAGACTTAAAATTATAATTAGTTATAAGATATTTATATTTCTTAGCTAGGAATTTAGTTTCTAAAAGTTATTATTTTCAAGAAATAAAGTATTATTAATCTAAAGGCTAATAATATTAAAAAAATAATTATTATTAAAAGAATAAGAGTTATATATTAATTACTTTATAATTAGCTTATTTATATAATAAGAATAATAAGTTTTAAACTAGTAATTTCTAGCTTCTAATATTTTATAAAATAGTTTTATAACTTTTAATACTAAATTATTCTCTAAATCTAGCTCTTATATAAGTTTAGAAAGTAATTTAATATAGAAATCGCGGTTTAGTAAAGTTAATAATTAAATATAAGCTTATAATATATTCTATAAATATAGTTTTAAAATCTTTATAATTATAATAATAATATAGAAAATAACTCTTTAGCTAATATATTAAATAATTAATAATTATATTATAATATATATAGAGACGCACGTGACTTAAGAATATATAATAAACCTCGGATATTACGGGTATTAATTAGAGAGATTAGCGGTCCTTTGACTTTATAACTAACTACTATTTATATTATAAGTATTAGGCTTATAAATTACTAATTATATATATATTATCGGGGCCTCCTATTTAGAGGGGGCTTTCCTGAACCTTATAAAAGAAATAGAGATTAGTTCTATACTGAATTTAATACTATAGTTTTATAACTTACTAATTTATTCTATTATCTTATTACTTACTAATAAATACCTCATATATATTAATACTATATATTTCTTATTATTATTATAGATTTAAATAACTAGTTTTAATTTCTTATATTTCTTTTCTATATTCTTATTCTTAATCTTATTAATAAAATAAGAATTAAAAATATATATCTTTTCTAATATCTAAAATCTAAAACCAATTTTAAATATATTCTTTTCTAAGAAACTAATAACTTTAACTTAATAAGAATTATTATATAAGCTATTATTATTATATTATAGAAATACTATTATATTAGAATATTTATAAAATTATTTTCTATTATATTTTAGTAAAATAATAAAAGAAATTATTTTTATATTACTATTATTTTTATTTTTATTATAAAGTTTAGAATTATAAAATTTGAGATTATATTTAGATTTATTATTAATTTTTATATTTCCTTTATAAAATGGTTTTATAAAAATTAATTAAAAAGTAATATTATTATAAAATAAAGCTAATATATATAACTTTCTATTTATAGCTATAAGCTTATATAATTTCTCCTAATTACTTTTCTAGTTAGTATTTCTTTTATATTATATTAGAATATTTAAATTTAATATGAAATTATAAATATTAGTTATAGAAAATCTATTTTATATATTTAGGATATTTTTAATTTAATATTTAATTTATAGATTCTAAATCTCTATTATTATTATTTTAAGAGCTATTAATTATTAAAAAACTAAAAATAATAATAAGTTATATTTAGTTAATTAAAATATATATTATAAACTAAAAGAATAAAAACTATATTACTAATATTTATAATATTATTTAAAGCCTTAAAACCTATTTATAATATTATTTCCTTTATAATTTCTTTAATTTTAATTATAATAATTCCTATAAAATAATATATTTCTATAAAAACGATTTTTATTTTAGTTTTTATAATATTTATAAATTAAATAAATTCCTTATTTATAAGTTATTTTCTAGTATTTATAATAATCTAATTAAAAGAATCTAAATAAATATTAATCTAATATAGTTTTAAAATATTCTAGATATATATAATACTATTAGTATAACTATAGTTATTAATAATTATATAATATAGAGGTAACTAGAAATAATAAAATATAAATAATAAGTAATAATTATATAATCTTATATTATATAAGTAACTTAACTAGTAACTAGTCTCTATTAGACTTAATAGATTTAAGAATTATATATTAATATTATAATACTATAATTCTTACTTTTAAATAATAATTACTTTACTAATTTATATAAATAATATTCTATAATTATATAATAGTATTATATATTTCTAATAAACTAATACTAATTAGTTTATATATATAAATTAAAAAGAATTAAACTATATTTGCCTAAGATTTAATTATTTAGAAGTAAAGCTATTATTTAAGTTAAAAAGGAAATAACTATTAATTCTATTACCTGTAATTTAATTATATAAATAAGAAAAATATTTAATCTTATTAAGGTCTAATTATACTATATTAAAGAAAGAAATATCTATTAGTTCTATTATTTATAATTCGGTTATATAAATAGAAAAAGTATTTAATCTTACTAAATATTAAAACGGTTAGCTATTTAACTATTCTATTTTATTTCTATTTAATTTCTATAAAACTCTTTTAAAAACTACCTTCTTTTAAATTTCTAAGGCTTTTAAGCTTTAGAACTATTAAGTTCTTCCGAAATCTCGATATTTTACTTCTTAAATTTCATTTCCTAAATTTCTTATTATAAATAAAAACTTTTACTTCAAATATAATATTTTCTATAAATTACTTATCTTATAAACTATTCTCTTCTTTATAAATCTACTTTCCTTATAAACTACTATATCTCAAACTAGATATAAGCCTATAAAATATATAATAATAGAATATATTATAGTAAATAATTTCTTTATTAAATTTATCTAATCTAATTATTTTATAAATAATAATAATTATAAGAAATTAGTAAAAAAGTAGAAATATAAAATTAACCTAAACTTTATTAGAATAAATAAAATAACTAAGTTTTTAGATACTAAACTATTTTAATATATTCTTTATAAAATAATTAATAATAATTTTTAGGAACTATTTAAATATAATTTTAAGAACTTTATTTATTAAAAGAACTTTAATAAATTTAAACTCTCGGAAATATTATATCTATATAAGACCTTTTAATATAATAGTATATTTATATAATAAAACAGTAATACTAATATTATTATAACTACTTTATATACTATTATAAAAGAAATTAAATAATATATATAATTAAATAAAAATATATTAGTAGCTAGATTAAACCTTATTAAAAAACTAATTCTATTAGGCTTTATTACTCTTATAAAAAATAAATACCTAGAACCTATTATTTTTAATATTTCTTTACTATTACCTCTTTTACTATTTCTTCTATTACTATATCTTATATTTTTATTAGATTTATATACTAGTATAGAAGCTCTAGAAATAAATAATATACTTCTATTATTATTATTATTATAATCTTATTTGAATAACTTCTAATTTCCTTTAATTATAAGACTTATTAGAGAAGTTACTAAAATCTATACTAAAAAGTAAAAATATAATAAATCTAATAGTAATTTTAATTATAAACTTACTATTTTCCTTAATATTTACTAATATATAAAACTTTTATAAAAGATACTAATATAAGCTTTTCTTATTATATTAAAGAAACTAGCTTAAAACTATTTCTATAATAATTAACTTTTAATATATATATAAAAAAGCTTATATTAATATTTATAGCTTTTTTATAATAGCTAAATTCCCGGAAAAAACAATATTTAAAACTATTTAATTACTAATTAATAAACTATATTAATTATAGTATAGTTTTATATCTAACTTATAAAATACCGAATTCTTTTATAATAAAATTATTACTTCTTACTAAGGCTCCCGGATATATAAATATATAATCTCAGACTTTCTTATAAATCTCGGCTAACTTATTAATAAGTTCTAGTTATCTATTATTATATATAAGAGTAAATAATAAGCCAATTTCGAAATACTCTTTATTAATTAATAATACTATTCTTAGAATTCTTTAAGCTATTATTTTTCCGGAAATTATTAATATAAACCCAATTATAATTTCGGATCCTATAATAACTATTTCAAGTCCTATAATTATAATAATTATATTTCGAAGTTATATTTTATATATAAGAAACCCAAATACTATTTATAAAAATATATATTAAAGAAATAAGAAACTAAGAAAGCTTGATTTAGAAATAGAAATATTTATTAATTCAGATCCCGAAATACCTGTAATTTTAATAAATATTTTAGTAATACTTATATATAGTATATTACTAAAACTAAAGATAAAAAAAGTAATAAGAATAGTAAAAACAAACTAGTAAATAATACTTTTAAGGCTTTATTAATAGAAATAAATAAAAAAAAGAAATACTATTCAGATTTCTATTTTACTTTAATTAATAGCTTTTTAGCTATTCTTATTACTTCTATTCTACTAATAACTATAACTAATACTTTTATAGATAACCTTATTTCTCTTTTCCTTATATATTAAATAATAAATAAAAACTATATTTTAGAACCTATTAAACTCTTAATAGAAAATATTTAGACTTTTATAATTAATAATATATTAAGATATAATACTTACTATTTTTATAGACTTATAATTAATACTAGAGCCTCTAGATATTTAACTACTAGTTCTAATTAATTTCAGGCTTTCTAGTAAACTAATAATAATATTAAACTTAATAAAACTACTAAAGGCCAAATTAATATCTAGTTTAATATTAGATTTATATCTTCTATTAGATCTATAATAGTAAATATACTAATTAGGCAAGTATAATTCTATATTATATTTTTAAAAATTCTATTTTTATTTAGCTTAGCTAATATAAATAAGCTCGGAATCTATTTTAATAATCTTATTAATTATCTTATTACTTTTATTAGAAATTATATATCTATAATATAATATTTCGAATACTCTTTCCTATAGCTTTATAATATACTATAAAGCTTTTTTTTCGAATTCTTTATTTATAATTCCTGCTTTTTTATAAAAGTCGAATTATAATATCTATATAATTAATTTAGCTATTTATTTATTAGTAAATTCCGGAATATACTAAAATAAATAGGTTATAATATTAATATAGAAGCCTTTAAATACTTTATAAAATATTATAAGTAATACTAGAAATATAACTAATTACCTAAATAATTTAAGTTTAATCTAAGAGATAATATTAGCTTTAACTATTTTATTATTATTAATATTTTCTATATTTCTAGTAAGTCTATACTTTATATTATTAATAAAGGCACTCGATATTAAGCCGGCTAATAACTTCAGAATATTAATATAATATATATCTGAAATATATTTAAATAATACTAGATTAATAACTATTTAGGCCCTTTTAATTAAATTATAGCAGATATTAGAATGCAGTTTACTAGTAAGAAATTTACTTAGCTTATAAATACTATAGGAACTAAGATTAAAATCATTTCTATAAAAACTTATAATTCTATTAGAATTATAAAATACTATTATAATCTAATCTAATATATCTATTTTATTATTATAACCGAAATTAATAGAATTAATAAGAATACTATATTTTAAATAGCTTTTAAGACTATTAATAATTCTATAAAACCTAATAGTATTATTCTAATTCTTTTAATTTATAGTATTTTACCTTAAATAACTAAATATAATACCCTATTACTTATTATATTATAGTAATTAGTAGTATTTAAAAAAGTAATAATAGAAATTCAGAAGCTTTAAGCTAGATATTAAATTATAAATACTTTAAATACCCGAAATAGTTCTAATACTACTAATATTTATAAACTATTCCTGAATTCGAATATTCTCATTTAATATAAAGGAAATACTAGTTAATTTAGTAGTTAGGATAGACTATATAAGCTAGTATAGTACGGCAGGCCGTACTTTCTAAAAATTATATTATTTTGGCAGTTTTAAGGTTTTAGTTATATAGTAAAGACTATAGCCTTTTATATATAACTTATAGAAATTATATAAGAAAGCTGGTTTTTTTATAGTTCTAGAAAATAATTCCTTTTGAGTATTTAATTAATTAAGCTTTTATATACTATATACTATTTATATTTTACTATTTATATTTTACTATTTATACTTTTAATTTATTATTTTACTATTAAATTACGTTTTATACTCTAGTATACTTTATATAAGTTTTTGTCTTATTATAGTTTCCCTCTTATAGTATCTAAGTAAATAATAAATTAAACTTAGACTTATAAGGCCTTATAAGGCCCCTTAAGCTTCTATAAACTTATTATATATAATAAGAGCTTAAATTTTAGGAGTTAGATAAAGTATAAAAAGTTTATAATTTTAATTACATATAACCTTATATATTATAAGGTGTAATTTTTTACTTATATAAAATGCAAAAAATTTCTATATAAGCCTATATAGAAATAATCACGTGCTTTGTAGTTCCCGCAATATTAAAGATATTAAAAATCGGAGACTAGGAGATTAATTACTATAAGATATATAATAATTTCAATTAATATGACTTATATTAGTTAGTATTTTGGTAGGCTTTTTTTTCATTTTGTTGCTTTTGGATCGGAATGACTATAGTTCACTAATTATTCTGGAAGGGTTCATTGGCTAACTACCTAAACTACTCAGCCGCCTAACTAAAAAATCCTACTATTTAATTAAAGCCTTAATATAATTATAATTTCTATTAAACACTAATACTTTATAGTATTTTCGACCCCCTGATAGCTATATATTACTTTAAAACTACGTGGTATTACCCTATTCCGATGAGATGGCGAGGAACAATCCAAAGATTGCAGCAGAATTGTTGTTTGCCAACCAAGATCTTATTGGGTTGAGGGCCTTGGATGTCTATGTCGCTGTGGTCGAGAGTCTGACTGAAGCCGGCATCGCCGTCATCCCAAACAACCATATCACGCAAGCAGCTTGGTGTTGTGGAATCAACCTATGCGATACCGCTTGGTGCAACGATCACCTTGGGTCAGTTTGTCGAGTCAGCCAGACAGAAGACCAATGGATTGAGAACTGGGTGAAGATCATATCGTTCTTCACGAACAACCCCCTAGTCATTAGAGCAGACCTGCGCAACGAGCCTCGAGGCTTCTGGGCTACAACGCCATGGGGGAAGTGGGCTACTGCTGCAGAATGTGCTAGTAGCAAGTTGCTCGCCATCAATCCGGACTGGCTCATGTTCGTCGAAGGAGTCTCGTCGTCCAATGACCTTTCAGGCGTCCACAAGCGACCCGTCGTGGTTGATGTCCCGGATCACGTAGTATATTCCGTCCATGTGTACAGTTGGTCAGGATGGGGTAGTCGGGAGGGTGTGTACGCAGAGCGGCCGTTTATGTCGTTTGTCAAATCGATGAAGGAGAACTGGGCGTATCTTCTCGAGGAGAACATCGCTCCTGTCTTGGTTAGCGAGCTTAGCAGGCTGCATGAACCAAGCGAGGGAGATTTTCGTTACTGGAACAACTTGTTAGAGTTCCTGAAGTTCGTTGACGCTGGCTTTGCGTATTGGGCTATCAACCCGAGAAAGCCTGACGACAATGAGAAGGAGAGTTATTCGCTTGTCGAGGATGATTGGGAGACCCTGATTTTGGACTGTCGACTTCGAGACATGCTGGAGCTTAACAGGCAATGATATTTACTCTTCGGGTGGTTGTTGTGTTGAGGTTACATTGCAGCGCATACGACGTATCGATATCTGCGCTGTCTTGTACTGTCCTAGACATCGTGACTCGCACCCTGCATATTCATTCCTCCCTTCTTGCATCCGATCACAGATGTCAAGGAGCGGTTGATCTGTATCCGAATCCTATTTTTGCTCTGAAAATAGCCTTCCGTGCAGTGGTGCTCGATCTTTTGGCCGGGTTTGCGATTTGACTTGCACCTGTGAAACGAGGGGGGTTTTGAGCTGAGGTTAAATCGATGGGTGGAGCAGAGTCTGAGGGTGAGGTGGGGCCGGAGGGGCTGTCACGTGCTTTTTCTTTGGTGTTGAAGAAAGATTGGATTGAAAGAGGCCTTTCATGAGTTAGCTGGAGAGCTTAAAATGTGGGTTTCCGTCTGGGTGAAGTTAGCGTTTGGCTGGCGTTAGTTTGAGCACGTGTAGGGTTTCACGTGATTATGAAAGAGCAGCGAAATCGGCTCTGCTTTTATCCGCCGTGGCGTACTGCATCCGGAGCACGCATCCGGAGCACCTTCATGTCTTTACTTCTATTTTTAGCTCATGAACGCCTTCCAATGGAATGCATGTGACTTTGTACCCAATCCCGAACCTCAGCTTCCCATCTCCGAGATCTGGGGACCTCACCCAACTCAGTCAGGTCTTCTTACCCGAAAATGGAAATATTGAATCTCACACCTCGCATGTAGAAAAATTGCCGTGCCAACAGTCCTCGGGTCCATCGATCCTATAGGGCTATGTTCCTTCGCACGTAATCCCTTACCAATCATTAGCATTTTCTGGTGCAGCGGCTGTATGACGCGCTGCAACGATCACTGGCTGGTTGATGTAAGAGGAGCGGAGGAGCGGAGGAGCACAGAGCAAAGGGAGGAGGGAGAATCAGTCCACGCAAAGGTGATGGGGAAGCTGATCATAAGAGGGAAATACTTCTCCCTTGGGGGTTGGATTGCTGTTCGCGAATGGTGGATGTGTGGGTGTGCTTCCCCGGATTTGCTTGGCCAACGCTGGTGGTGAGGGGCAGATGCGGATGCGTTGCGCCACTTCAGGAGGCTTTACCCCGCAATCTATCGAGACCTCTGACGCCAAGCGCTGTACTTCCAGCACCGTACCCAGAGAAATGTCAGCCTGCAGACTGGATAAAGTAACTTTTGCCCCATCAAATACAAACGACACGCGGATTCCACGAATGGACAAATCTTTCAGGAAGGAGGTATTATTGTGTTAGAGAGCACAGAGTGGATGCTGGAAAACAATCGGAAAGATACCGAAATCCCTCATGTGGGTTACCGCCGATGTCCCGAGACATCTCCGATCCTCGACTTGAAGCAAGGGAATGTGACAGCGTGACACAGGGAATGTTACCCCGCGTTAGCAAGCAAAGACTGAAATCATTGTTTCTGGAGCTGTAGGAAGCCCGTGAGAATGACATTCAATCGAACATTGGAGGCGAAGTGTACATCATAGTTTATATGAAGCTTCAAAATGGACGTGACGCGTGATAACCTTAAGGGGCTTCAATCCCGAATCCCCGACGCAAGGCCCTCGTCGGGATTGCTTGAGGAATGCCACCGCAACTCCCGTGAGCAGCAGCTACCTGCCCTAGCTCTCGGAGACGTGGGAACAGACAGAGACGGACCAGCAGTCTGACGTCTGACCTCCTCCCGAGAGCGAGCGATGGATGGCTGGAGCGTGTCTGACGGCACGCAGCTGCGGGTGGAGCAGACGCAGGAGGAGGGCGAGTACCTGCCTACGCCTACTACTTGCGGATGAAAGATGAGCAGAGACGGGGGAGGGGAAGGGGAAGGGGAAGGGGAAGGGGGAGGAGCTGCGTCGGCATGGCGAGGGGAGGGGAGGAGAGGACTATAAAAGCGGGAACTGCCCCCGGGGAGCAAGTCTGCATATATTTCATCTCGTCTGCTTGAATTTAATTTGATTCACTTCACTTCTTTCATCTGCTCGCACTTACCCCTCCATCCACAACCAACCCAACACAACTCCTCCCCGTCGGACAGTCTGACTTGACACTACAAAAAGTGCGTACACCCCGACTCCTCTCAATTGCCTCGTACCGTCCTCTGCTCGGTCGATTCCCATCGTCTGCGGATCAATTGCTCCCATCGCCCGAGGTGTCTGTTATTACGTAGCCGTTGTACTGATGTCTGTCTCTTTGGCTGCAGGCAATCTTGCGACCCCGCACTCCGGCAGGTTGATCATCCAACACAAGCACCGCTCTCTCCCTAATCCAATTCTCACTAAAACATCAAATTAGTCAAAATGGTATTGCTCACTCGTTCGCTCTGCCGCTTCGCGCGTCCTGCACTCACATCTTCCTTCCACTCTGCTGCGCGGCCGGCCCACAATGCACGGGTGCTGTCTCGTGGGGCCCTCGCGCTGCGGCACAATCTTGGGAGCATCAGAACGCTGACAGGGAAACGTGAAAAGGTCAAGGTCCTCCTTGTGTTGTACGACGGCAAGAAGCACGCCGAGGAAGTAAGTTGCCCCGTCTGCCACTCCACAGCCAGCTGGCAGATGCTAATTGATCCAGGTGCCCGAGCTTCTAGGCACGACAGAGAACGAGCTCGGTATCCGCAAATGGCTTGAGGATCAAGGACACACGCTCATCACTACATCCGACAAGGAGGGCGAGAACTCCAAGTTCGATCAGGAGCTGGTTGACGCTGAGATCATCATCACTACACCGTGCGTCGTCTGCTCAATTGGCAGGACTATTCTGACATTCGCAGCTTCCACCCAGGTTACCTCACCGCCGAACGTCTCGCAAAGGCCAAGAAGCTGAAGCTTGCCATCACTGCTGGTATTGGATCCGACCACGTCGACCTGAACGCTGCGAACACGACCAATGGCGGCATCACCGTTGCTGAAGTCACCGGCTCCAACGTCGTCTCGGTCGCCGAGCACGTCGTCATGACCATCCTCGTCCTCGTCCGCAACTTCGTCCCCGCACACGAACAAATCCAGGCTGGTGAGTGGGATGTCGCTGCCGCTGCCAAGAACGAGTTCGATCTCGAGGGCAAGGTTGTCGGTACCGTCGCTGTAGGACGTATTGGAGAGCGTGTCTTGAGACGTCTGAAGCCGTTCGACTGCAAGGAGCTTCTGTACTTCGACTACCAACCCCTCAAACCAGAGATCGAGAAGGAGATTGGTTGCCGACGTGTCACGGATTTGGAGGAGATGTTGTCACAGTGTGATATTGTTACCATCAACTGCCCTCTCCACGAGAAGACCCGAGGTCTCTTCAACAAGGAATTGATCTCCAAGATGAAGCCTGGTAAGCTATCTCTCCACATTTGTTTATTTCGATGCTGACGATACAGGCTCCTGGCTCGTCAACACCGCCCGTGGCGCCATCGTCGTCAAGGAAGACGTCGCCGCGGCCCTCAAGTCCGGCCACCTCCGCGGCTACGGCGGTGACGTGTGGTTCCCGCAACCCGCACCCAAGGACCACCCCCTCCGCTACGCCAAGAACCCCTTCGGTGGCGGAAACGCCATGGTTCCCCACATGTCTGGCACGTCGCTCGATGCGCAGAAGAGATACGCCGACGGCACCAAGAGCATCCTGGAGAGCTACCTGTCTGGAAAGCATGATTATAGACCGCAGGATTTGATTGTGACGGGTGGTGATTATGCGACGAAGGCGTATGGTGAGCGGGCTAAGATTAGTGCAGCGAATAAGGCATAGGTGAGAGGACGATACCAGTGGATGATGAATCGAGGGATTTGGAAAACATGGCAAAAGTGTTATGTGCTGTAGCTTTAGGAATGGTACCTTTAACTTTGACGATCGACGATCAAATGGAACAATTATTTGCAGGCATTCGTTGTTTGTGCTTGTGTAATGGTGAGGCGAGACTTGATGGCGAAGGAGTGGCAACGTTGCGTGTCGTAACTTGCTCGAGCTGCTCGAGGGAAAAGGCATTCCTCTTGTTCCTCTTCCTAATCGATCACCACCTTTCGAAGCCAAAGCCTAGGCGCTGTGCTGTGCTGCGTTGTACTGTGCTGTGTAAAATCGGTCAGTATAGAGGCTGTTCTTCCTACTATTTTGTGAGAAAAATTTGTAACGGGAGTGTGCTATGAGGGAATCAATCGCGAAGGGGTAAGTGAGGGGAGGGGAGGGGGGAAGAGGGGTGTTTGTTGCTTAGTGGTCAAGGACGGGATGAGTGGGGATCGTACGGTAAGTACTTTGGGTCATGAGGAGGCGGGAAGGGAGAAGGTGAATGGAGAGTGGGGCGGGGGGAGCTGGGGAGTTGGGGAAAGAATGAAAGGAAGGAAAGAAGGGGAAGGGGAGAAATTTGCGGACTGGTCGGGAGTGCGCGGGGTGAAGAGTAATGAAAGAAAGAAAGATGAGGGTTTACGGGGTGCGGCAGCGAGAGGGGACGTCATCTACAATGGGTGAGGCTGTATTGGATGGATGGATGGATTGTAGGTGTGGAGGGAGGGCTGTAGGGGGTGTGTGGAGGGGAGGGGGTGTTAACATAAGGCAGGAGGCGTGGAAGAGTTTGGTAGGTCTTGGGGTTCGAGTTTTGGGTTGGGTTGGTTGTGGGTGGCTGGTGAATTTGAGACGTGGAAGTGAATAGCATGGGGAAGAGATGATCGTAGGAGGACAATAGGTATATTTATCCTCTTGCTGTTCCTTTCCTTTCTTTGAATCCACGCACATAACAGGGTTAGAAACAGAAGAGACCAGGGAACGGGGTTTGGCGGTCGGTCTTGGGGTGGATTTGGCTTAATTGGTTACTGTTTAGTCTTTCTTTCTTGCTTGTTTGCTGCTTACGAGCGAGGCGTGTATAGCGAGATGTGTAGAGATGGGAGGAGTAGAAGGGAACTTAGGGAGGTATTGTATGTGTTTAATGAACCAGATGCTATCAAGGCGCGGGATAAGAGTGGGACAATAAGGGGCGAAGAAGTATAAGTTAATGCTATAAATAGGGAAGAGATAGGAAGAGGGAGATAGGGCGAAGGGGGAGGATCTTGAGGCTCCGGGGAAAGACGTGCTGTATGACTCCTATCCGGCACCGCATCCAGGGGGTGAAGATATGACATTGGCGGTGTTGAGGGAAGGAGGTGAGGAAAGGGTAATTACAACACCAGAATATCAGAATGAGAACATCTTCCAGGCGAGTAGGAAAGTCAGTCCTCTTGAATAGAAGGGAAGAGATAGAGCGATATCCACCTTGCTCTTATGGTATATCTGCTATTCGAAACGTACTTAATACTTTCTGAGGCCCAACTTTTTCACTCTCCTATTGGCATTCTCCCTGTTTCATCATATTAGCGAGATTTAGCGAGCCAGCCCCTATAGTTCTGCATACTCAACTACCCCTCTTTATCTGTTACAATATATCTTTCAGTTCATATTTAGACTGTTATCTGAACTCACAGTTTTCTTAATTATGATAGATGAATAATACAGGGGCCTTTTCGAAGTCTATTGAATATCTTCCAGGCAAGGAAGAAATGCAACTCTCCGTTGGTCACCAAAGTGACTCCTCTGGCATACTTCCAATATTATACAACCATTTCATCGGCTCATTATTGCTGAAGTTAAACATTTTATCTGTTACCTAGAAAGACTATGAGTGGTAAGTTATATAATTCTGCCCCACCATAAATCCGAGCCCAGCATCAGCTCAGATGGTGTCACGTGCTGCGCACAGGCGTGTATATAGCTTCTTCACCGCCATTAGGGCACCACCATTCCTTACAACATATACAAACACACCCACATTCCACTTCCACAGCTTGTCCAGGCCGTGACAGAGGGTATGCTCGAATACATCTGTTGGAGGTCATCAAGACTTGTATTAGGGAGACAAAAGTTGTGAGTGCGACTATCATCTAACAAATTAAGAAGCAAGCAGTGAGAACTAGACTTCCACCCTGCCATGCATTCGGTTCCTCGCTTAAAGTTTCCCCTTCCTTCCATCCTCACCAATCTTCAAGATCGCCGTCTGATTTTCCTTCTGCACCCTGTCCCAGAGACTTCCTTTCCCAGCTTCTCTCCCTTTCTGATCCTCTTTCCTGAGAAACTCCTCTGCACTCTTGATCCTGTCCGGATGAATTTCATCCAGCAACGCATAATCCCTCTTAATCACATCATTTTTCCATGTATTCCAAAATCCAGTAAAGTTATCTTTGAAACTCATTGTGCTCTTGTCCTTGGGGTCAGCATTGTACCCAGCTGGTATATCGCCAGCACGATCTCTGAACATGATCTTCCAATAGTCCTCAAGACTCGTATCGATGTATTGAGCAGGATGGCCTGTAACTTTCTCGAAAGCGGCAGCAAGCTCAACGTACGGGATTGGCGCAATTGCAACTTCGAGATCCAAACCACTCGCACGCTCTGGATGATCGAACAGCCAACGAACATAGTACTCGCAGTCATCAAGTGCAACATGCACGACTGACCCCTTTCCCAACGGCACACGCCAGGTGACGACACCGTCCTCAACCGTTGGCGTCATGACCGTCATACTCGAAATTGTCATTTCAATGTATGGCCCAGTTGTAAAGAGCGCGGCTCCCATGCGCTCCTTGTTCTTCTGGTTTTGGAACAGAATCCATTCTCCGATCCGCCCTTTGCCATCATAATGTCCTGTCCGGAACTTCGAGTCGTATCCGCCCTTCTTCAAGGCATAATCTAAGTTTCCATAAACAAAGAACTTGATCCCTTGCTCGAGTGCAATTTCATAGGAGCGGATAGCCCAGTACATTTCCGTCTTCTCACCGGTGTTGAATCCATCAATGTTGACGAAAGCACCGTCGCAACCGCTGAAACCTTGCTGGAGCTTCGATTCGTCACCGAACGTGCCTTCCATGAGCTCAACATTGCCGAGTGAGAGGAGCTCTTGGGCACGCTTGGATGTTGTGTCGCGAGTGAGAACACGGCATGAGTATTTCTTGTCTTTAACAAGGCCGCGGATGACGGGAATGCCTTGAACCGACAAGTTAGCATAGCCGTTCAACAAGAGTCTTGAGAGCGAATATGGCAAGCTCTCAAAACATATCTGTAAACATTTCTTGAGATCTAAGATTCATACGCAACTGTGAAGATAAGGTAAAATTATACGTACCCTGAGCACCAGTGCCGCCAATAACGAAGATTTTGGAGACCTGTTGAGAAGCCATATTTTTGTATCTTGACGAGATGAGGGGAAAGATGTTGAAGCTGGGTCAATATTCACCTTTATATGCGTCGGCATATAATGAGCTGAATTGTAGGGTGAGTGTCCTTGAGCTTCTTCCGTTCTTTGTGTTTAGTGATCCGGGCTGGGGTTTTCTCTTCGATTACTCAACAAACTCTCTATAATCATTCCGGGTTCAGTAATCAACACATCTTGCGATTTGGGGATTACAGCTTCCTTGATGTACTTTGTCAATCCAATCAGAGCAGCCAAGTGAACTTTTGGGCTTTATGTTATGGTTGTTTCGCGAATCGTCGCTAATCGCTCTCTGCCTCGGCCCTAAGAAATGAGGACGCTGAGGGGCACTTCGTTCTCCCCCAATCGTGCAATGTTATATCGTTCAGAAAGCCGAATGAATCTTATTAATAAAAAAGGTTTTTTGGTGTCTGGTTAGATGACTTGGTTACGGTTAATTTATAATTTAATTCTGAAAAGACCCTCAAACTTTGAAGACTATGGATACAGTAGAACTTTGTTAGTAATCGAGGAAGCGGGCTTGCAGTCAGAAGTAGGGTGCTTTTTCTGAAGTCCCACACAATCCTGTAAAACGATGAACTTGAGCTTCTTTAAACTTTCTTCGACTTACAATACGCAAGATCAATGCTTCTATTAGGTGATAGTTTTGTAAGTTTTTATATATACAAAGTGTAGTAAACAAACATGGCCCCTGAAATACCCCTTAAATTATCGTTATCGTAGCGCGCTTATCGTCTTGCATAGGCATTCTCATTGCTGCGCCACATCGCCCTGTGCATCTTCCAAGGCTCCAGTGTGTCTCACGGGGGTTGTTTCACGTCGTTCTATTCGCCCTGATAGATTTAATTGTGCTCGAGAGTTAAAAAAAATGACGCGGAAGGATTCCACTAGGCTTAATTTATTTCGCAAGTGGTGGCGGCGGTGCAGATCCCCGCACTTGCAGTGAAATCAAGGACGAAAGTTCTCCCGACTGATTTCGCATCTCGCATGTAGACCCAAATCTGGAAATGCTCAACGTCCGTCCGTCACGAAATCGATTGCTTATTGAGGCTTTGCACTGAAGGACCAATGGCGTTGCACCGTTGTACAAGCTGACAAGACAGCAGGTAAATCACTCAATTCTCCAGCCTTGAGCCACGCAAGGCTTGGCTAGCGACATCCGTTGGACGAAGCAATTTTCGTGAGCACCTCAATGTCTTACAAGGAATTTCTTATTCCGTATTACTTTGAGGCCATTCTGATTGGTTTCTTTCTGTTTATTTCCTTGGAGATCGGAGTAGCAGCGTCAGCCGTACCGTTCCCCGAATCTTGGCAAACATTCATGAGGAATATAAAATCAATTGGAATCCCACATATCTTTCAAAATGGAAGAATACCTCTCAACCTTCTGTCAACCCTCTCAATTTCTCGACACAAGCGCGATGCAGACCTCTTGGAACACCTCCTCAATGCTTTGCACCGTCCTCCAGCTGTTGGACCATGCTATCACCACCCTCGCCCACTCACATTCACAGTGTAAATCAACCCCTGGATCTCACACTTGGCCTAGCTCCCACGAATGGGACAGACTCAATAACTCCATCTCTGGTCGACTTCTCCAGCCCCCTCCTCCTGGTGCAGTCTGCCACCCCTCCCAGCCTACTTACGACCCCTCTCTTTGTCCCAGCGTAGTAGCAGGCTGGAACACCTCCAAATGGCAATCAGATGACCCCATCAGTTCAATGGGCAATAATTTCAACAACGATACTTGCCTCCCTGACCCTAACGTACCGTGTAGCGGGGAAGGATATCCGGTTTATGTTGTAAATGCAACTTGTGCCGACGACGTGAAGAAAGGGGTGGATTTTGCGAGACAACATAATATTCGATTGATTGTAAAGGGAACAGGACATGATTATTTGGGAAGGTGAGCAACTTCCAATTGATAACAAGAGAGTGGATCGTAATGAAGGCATCAGGTCCGTTGCTCCAAATTCCCTCTCGATATGGACACTCCATATCTCCGGGCTCTCTTTCCAAGACGGCTTCCAGCCAAAGGGATGTAAGTTCTCAATTGATGGAGCAGCAGTCACTGCTGCAGCTGGAACTCAAATGCTCGAGATCGACTACAAAGCTCATTTGAAAAATCTCACTATTGTTGGTGGCGGAGCTGGCACGGTGGGAGTAGGTGGTTACTTGACTGGCGGTGGACATTCGGCTTTCAGCTCAACCTACGGACTTGCTGCTGACCAAGTCCTCGAGATGGAGATTGTAACTCCAGGTGGAGAGATCTTGATTATTAATGAATGCCAGAACGCCGATTTATTCTGGGCAACGAGAGGAGTTAATACCGCCGCCCCTTTCCAGTTCGTGTTTTGACCGTTCAACAGGGAGGAGGCTCAACATTCGGCGTCATTACCTCCGTGACCTTCAAAGCCTACCCCTCCATGCCCATCATAACAGCAACCGGGCTCCTTGCTGCTTCACCCGGAACAGACGCCTTCTGGGACGTATTCGCGAAAGTCCTCTCCCAGTGTCCCGCTTGGGACGACCAAGGCATAATGAACTACGGCTTCGTGGCTCGCAATTTCTCAGGCCAATTCGGCCTCACTGCCCCCGTTGATGCATACGTCGCCTACTTCATTATGCCAGTGCTCCATCCGGAAAACACAACCGACTCCTTTACTGCGGCAATCAATAAAGTCTTCGATGAAGCAACCGCTGGGGCTCCCATTGAGTTCCAAAGGGCGGTTTCCCCGCAGACGTACCCTGATTTCTGGGCTTGGTACAATGTCAACAATGGACCCTTGGATGCTGGTTATGACCAATACCTTGGATCCCGATTATTGGATGAAAAGGCGTTGACACACAATCTGACAGCGCTTGCAGAAGCGTTCAGGGCTGCGACTCCCTTGGGAGGTGTGACGAGTGTTTACTTGGTAGGTGGGCATGGGGTGATAAATGCGAAGCCAAGGGGTGGAAGTAATGCTGTTAATTCGGCTTGGAGGAAGGCTTATGTCCATTCAGGTATGTACTCAGGACACATGCGAGAAAGTTGGCTAATTGAAAGTAGTGATTGGGGTGGGTTGGGAACCATTTGATGAAGCAGAGAAAGCCAAGCAGACAGACCTTCTGAATAATGTGTATACTGAGGCGTTGAGAAAGCTTGCCCCGGACATGGGCGCGTATGTGAACGAGGTTGGTTTCTCATCAAAGTGCTGGAATTCAGACAACTGACACAGTGACGAGGCATATACTTATGAACCCAACTTCCAACAAACTTTCTGGGGTACTAACTATCCTCGCTTGTTGGAAATCAAGAGGAAGGTTGATCCCCATGATGTATTTTGGTGTCATCCATGTGTTGGTAACGAGAGGTGGAAAGAAGTTGACAATATGCTTTGCAAGGTGTAATGAAGGGTTAATGAGGTTATAGTAGACTATGTAGCAGTACACAATAGGGAAAATAATTTAGTGATATCAAAGCCCCCAGCCCCCCGTATTCAAGCACATTTGGTAAAGCCCAAAAGTACCTGTGGCAAGGGAACTGTGCATTTAGAGTAAGCTGGGACATTCTACCGAGTATCTCGTCAAACTTCAATATAGAATTATATTGTGTACGAGTTATGATTATCATGCATGGGGTATTAGTCGTGACTTTACCATTTCGGGGGACCTGGATACTAACCTGTCTGGTCCGGTCCGCGACGCAGTTAGGAGAGCTTCAAAAGTGAACTAGGGTTTGCAAACCCCACTACACACTTTCTAACCAAACCATAATAACTATACAATTTCGAGATTTTACATACCAGGTTTCTAAAGAAAATCCTAATCGTACTTCTTTCTATTCCGTTCTCTTCGTCACAACTCCGACGAAGCCACGATCGTGCCAACAACATTTCCTTTCTTCTTCTCGCTCTCGGACGAGCTCCAAGTCCGCATCCTCTCCTTCGTTCTGCAATCTATTGGCGAATTAATCTCCATTCAAAGACCACAAGAAGCACAGTTACTCCGCGAACCAGTATGGCGCCTTAAACCTCCCCCTTTTCTCAGCGTGAACCGAATATTCAGATAGGAGATGCCGAGGCTGCGGCCAGCAGGTGGAAGGAGCCCCTCCTCCTCCAACGACGAAAAGAGGTATGTTGAGAAGCTAAAGATTATCGCATCGGCACAAATGGATTCCGACTTCGCAAACGACATGCTTGTCCTCCCAAAGGAAATGTTCTCCGCCGATTCGGAGACTGGTGCCTCAGACTTCGAGTCCTGACGGGGAATATCCTACTTGGAGAAGCTTGAGACGGTGGTGATCAACTGGGTGAGCAAAGATTGCCCGCTGACGAGCTTTTGTCAGATGAAAACGAGTCTGGGGACCGGAGGGACTGGGCTATGAGAAATTTCGTCAAGTCTAAGCTGGCGACAGAGAAGTATTACGGCAAGGTTGAGGTTCCGAAGGTCGTCACTCTGAGGCTGGAGAGGCAGGATGAGGAGATTGAGAGTATAAGATAAGAATCTTTTGTGGAACAACCCAACCCGGTTCAGATCTTCCTGGGCCGAGACAAGCAAATGCAATTGGCAGTGAAAGACCATCATTCAAGCAGGACAGTGCACAAAGAAAAGGGTATTGATATTCGCACCTTCCAAACCAGCTATGCAATGCCACATCTCGCCATGCCGATTAATGAACTCCACAAATTCCAAACTTCCAACTCCCCTTCCAACTCGGACAACATGCACGCACCACACCAATACTCAAACACCTTTCTTCCTAAACAACCTCTTCGTTCCACCCACTTTATCCATCTCCCCAAAACTCGACTTCCTCTGACTCTCTTTCATGCTCTCCCTCTCCTTATTCCTTTTCTCCTTCTCCGCGCTTGCTTGTCGAACCTTCTCCTTCATACTCTCAACCCACTCCTGATCCTTCTCACTAATGGTAACCTTCTTGCTCTTTGGGCCTGCAAGACCCAGGCTCGAGTCTTCCTCCGTCCAACTCAACCGCGAGCTACTTCTGAACGATGGCCCAGTGCTGGTAGAGCTCGCTTCGCTGCCTGCTGCCGAGGGAGGAGTTTCGTAGGAACGGCGGTCAATGCTAGGCAAAGGGGTCGAGGGGTTGCGGATATCGTTTGCACGGTACTCAGATTCGCCAACCGACTTACGGGTTTTGCGGATGTTGAGACTGCTACCAGGCCGATCAATTGATCTTTCGAGAACGCTCTGCGGACGGGGGACTGGGCTGTCTCTCCCATTGCCACGGATTGTGGCAATTGAAGAGCTGTTGGAGACGACTCGTGGCGGCAGATCTTGGATCTCGACTCTGTCGTTGTCGGCTGCTGTTCGTCGGCCGTGGTGGCTGGCATATTCTTTCAGGTACTCGCCGAGATCTGCCCATCCACCGCCAACGCGGACCATGACTCGCTCTCCGTGTTCTCCTACAAGTCGGACGAAAAGCTTGATTGGTGCTTCGCCTGTGGAGCGCGATAAATGATAAAGCTTGATCTCGGGATTTCCTGGCGTTCGTGATCGGTGGTTTGTCTTCGAAAATGCTGGTGCAAGAGTAAATGAAGGAGTGGGTGCACGTGAGCTGGTGCTGTAGTTACTCATACTCGAAGTTGACCGAAACGATGGAGTTATAGACCGGCGAATCTTCTTTGGCTGGAGGGTGTTTGTTGAGAAGGGATTTGCTTCAAGTTCCGATGTCAGGCGGATCCGTGCAGGAATGGATTCCAGCAGCGTGCTGATTTGCTTCTGGAGTTGCTCGTCGCTGCTAGTCTTCTTGGGACTCGACAGTGGTGCTGGAGATACATCGAGATCGGCAAATACAGGCGGTTCGAGCGGGGTCAGAGGCCCTGTTGGATCAGAGGGAGAGAAAGGAGGGCTCTGCTGCATCCTCAATGAAGGATGTTTGGATATCGCGGCGGCCGGAGGTGAGTCTGGAGGGCTGTAGTCATAGGAGTTTCCATTTCGAAGTCCAATGCGACCAGCTGTTGGGGACTCGTCGACTTCTGGGAAAGCCTCCAACCTCGGTGATGTGGGGGAAAGGATGGGAGAAGATGGTACATCGCCGACTCGACCATTTACAATCGTAGGCGTATCAGAGGAGATACTACCACGATGGAGGTCAGGCATCGAGATATCTTTGATGCCATTACCGATGTGTACGGTTGAAGCTTTGTGTGCAAGAGCGGGGACTGCAGATTCCTGAAGTGGTATATCTAGGGTCCCTTCGTTGCATACTTCACAGCCATCCCTTATAGTACTTATCTCAGATGATTGGACAATCTTCTCTTCGCGAACCGGCGACGACGCAATTTGCACTTCCTCGAGCGCCCGTGCAATATTGTCAGACGACGTAGGAGCCTCACTGCCATCCATGGTTGGCACCGATTCCCTAACCGTCAATCGGCCGGACAATGTCAAAGGGGACGTCAACAGAGTGATTGATCCACCCATTCCGACTGGAGATCGCGTGGCCCTGACCGGTGAGACAAGAGGACGGAAGTACTTAGCAGGTTCTGCCTCTCGGATCTCTGGACTTGGATCCGTTGATGGGTAATCAGCCACGACAGATATGTTTCTGCTGTGGCGCTTGGAACGAGAGCCATCAGTCTCCAAGTTTCGCTTACGGGTTATGCCAGGGGAGTGCATGGCAACAAGGGGAGAGGTTTCGGCGTCGGTATCTCCAGGGGAATCAAAGACGATCCATTCCGTATCATTTGACTTGCCCATGCCGGTATGCTCGCCTGTTTGGCCATAATCAAGAGGAGGCCTTGTGGGAGACTGCGGCACAGAAGCTGCCTCGCGAGGTTTGAAGATACCATTGAGCTGCAGTGACTCGCGCCTCTTTGTCGAGTCCGAAGAACTAGGACGTTCTTGACTGAATAACTTGGGCGTTGATGCTCGACGAATGAACTTTGAAAATGCTTGACTAAAACGAGGAGTTCGGGGACTTTTTGAACCTCCGTTATCATCCGGTTCAGTAATTGGCGAAATCCCAGTTTTGGGTGTACCGGGCGTCGATGGTGATCGCTGTTGGGGAGGTTCAAAGTGGATTGGTGAGGCAAGAGATGATTGTTCCGGGACGACTTCATCATGAGGCTGCTTGATAACGTCTAGATCAACTCCGTCATATTGGGAACCCGGAATCGATATCGAGGGGTGTGAAGAGGGCTCGGACTCTTCACTGTCATTGCCGTCGAAGGGTGAAATTTTTGACATCTTGGCAGAGGTGCTTGACGACTTCGGAAAAGCAGATGCCAAGGCAACCCCGGCCCCGACAGCAAGCGCAGGAAGTGCTACATTAGATGCGGATATACCCATTTCGGTCTCTTTAGGGGGTTGAACTAGGTGGAGCTCGGGGCTTTTGACAAACATCGCTTCTCGCTGCTTGGCTGCCTGGGCTTCAGTCTCCGCTTCTTGGGTGGCTTTCAATATGGCAACTTCAGTGGCTCTTGCGTCTTCCAGTTCCTTCAGGGATTGTCCGCTCCTCGCTGCAGCTTCTTCGGATTCTTTCAAGGCTTGCAGTCGGGCCATTTCAGCTTCTTCGGCTTCCTTCTGTGCTTCCCGTCTGGCGATTTCACTGTCCTCGGCATCTCGTTGCGCCTTTTGTCTTGCTCGCTCAGTCTCCTCAGCAACGATCATGGACTGGAGTCTAGCCGATTCTTCTGCTTCCCGCTGCGCCTGTTGCCCTGTCAGCTCCTCAGCCTGTTTCTTGCCTTTTCGTTTAGCTCTCTCAGCGGATTCTGCTTCTTCAGTTTCCTGCTGGGTTTTTTGTCTTGCAATTTCTGCATGATGTGCGTTGGCATTCTTCAGCACCCGCAGTTTTGCCATTTCATCTCCTTCAGCTTCTCGTTCCGCCGTTTTAGCAGCACATAACTCCTCCGTTTCCTTCTCGGCTCTCTGTCTCGTGAGATCTACATTATGAGCATCCTCCATATCCTGGAGGGCTTTTCGTCTTGCTCTCTCGGCTTCCTCGGCCTCTTGTTCGGCTTTCAGTTTCGCAGCTTCAGCCACCCGTACTTCCTCCGCTGCTTGCTGGGCCGCTTGCTTGGCAATTTCAGCATTGCGAGCGTCCTCGGCATCTTGCAGGGCTTGCTTTCGAACCCTCACTGCCTCAACCTCCTGTTCAGCTTTCAGTCTAGCGGTCTCAGCAGCTCGTGCGTCCTCCGCTTCCTTTTGAACCTTTTGGCTCTCAATCTCTACCAGACGGGCATCCTCGGCGTCTTTCAAGGCTTGAACTCTTGCTCTTTCAGCTTCTTCGGCCACTTGCTTCGCTTTTTGTCTCGCGTTTTCAGCTGCCTGGGCTTCTTCGGCTTCCCGTTGTGCTTTCCGTCTTGCCGTTTCTGCTTCCTCGACAGCCTTGGCAGTAACCGCTTCCTTCAACCTCCTGGCCTCCTCCGCCTCTTGCCTGGCCCTCGCCATCTTGGCCCACTCCCCCTGTCTGACCTTTCGATCGCCAGCCACAACCCACTCGCCATAGTCCTGCTCGATTGTTTCCATCCGATCCAACCAACTCTCCGGTAGAGTATCTTCCCTTCCTTCCAATGTATCCAGCATGTAATCCAAGTTCTGGCCCAAAGATGTAACCTTGTCTTGTAGAACTTCCCTCATGACACTGAACGTTTCTCGAGACAAAGTAATATCCTCCCCATTCTGACTTCCTGGATTATTTATTGTGTTCCAACCACTTTTCAACGCAACCTCTGCATCTTCCAAGGCTTGCAATAAAGGAGGCACTTTCCGCAGGACCGAAAGCCGAATAGACCAGACATCCATCAACCGCATCAATCTGCTGAGGTTTGGCAGTGCTTGTAACACTGTTGCCGTAACTATCGCTGTAAAGTCGTCCATTTTGGTGTACGAAGAGAGAAAACTTGGCATCGGAGCATTGGAAGCGGATGAGGAGGGTCGAGACTTCGCAGAGAAATGGGTATCCAAGACCTGGCGCTTGATTTCCTCCACATTGAGCTCCTCCATATCCGCCGTGATTTCATCAAGACGGATCTCGTACCGCAGGACTTCTTTTGAAAAGAGGCCACCCACATACTCTGACTCGTTCATCTCTGGAGTGCCAGTGCCATCCTCCTCGTATTGGTTGGTGTTCCCATCCGTACGACTTGACAATTTCCGTCTCTTCGCTGGTGGAACCTCGAAGCCCAGCAAGCCGCCTTCTGCTGGCCATGACCAATTTGAGAGTTCGTCCACCCATTCTTGTATGTTCTTTGAAGCCAACGCCGCCTGCAAGCCGAACGCTTGTTCCGACGGGGTTGCGTTTTCGATGCTGGCTCTTAAGCGGCCAGAGGGGTTCTTGAAGGCTTCGAGGGTTGTTGCGGGGGTTAGATCGGCGAGGATATCGTCTACGGGTCGTTGTCGAGTGGGGGATCGCGAGGGAGTACGCGTGTGCAGGCTGGGAGGAACAATTCGAGGGACGACGGGCGAGGAGAAGACTGGAGTGTCTCCCATGGTGGTTGCTGTTGGTTAGTTGATGGAGGCGTTGCTGTGATGTCGGCGCATTGGCTCACAAGGCCAGAGTGAGTGAGCTTTCTGAAGATAGAGGGGATTCCAGCATGATACAGGCGCGCAGTGAATGGCAATTTAGGTCGTTTGAGATGCTTGTTCATAGCCGCTTAGTCGTGGACGCGGGCGCTCGCAGCATCGTGTAACTGGAGGTGCCTGGAACAAAGAAATGGATTTCGAGTGCGCTATGTCAAGATAGAGTATCGCGGCGGCGCAGTGTAGAATAACGAGTGAAATGCAATAGGAGGAGAGATATTGTACAAGGAAATTCGTCCACCGAGGAACGTGCTGTAGATAGATTCGCTTCCTTGGCGATCTTTATGCATCAATCCGCGCTAATATTGAGCAGGGGTCAGAAGGTTAGGCAGGAGAAGGGACAATTTTGTGAAGAATTTATTCCTAGTAATTTGAAGCGAAGATAGATTCTCTCAAGAGGCAAGTAGACCATATAGTCCTGTGATGAATTCAATGTCAATATTGACTTTCAACTGATGTTAGAGAACTTTTTTAGCTGCATGTCCGATCGCGGTGTGGAGTAATCTTGTGCTCAAATCCAGCCAATCAACGCGAGGCAAATTAAGGCCAGGAAAAAGATAATCCGGGGAAGAAATTCTTCTCCGATCAACACCAAGACTTTGGGTCAATGGCCACGAGATGATAACAGTGAGCTGCCCAATTTATATCCTCGGTTCAATGCTAATCGCACATTCAGCAACGACTCGGTCTGCAAGGTCTGCGGGCCAGAACATCCCGCAATCTTATCCCTCTTCGAACCCCACGATTAAGCCTCCGGGCCCTCACATCCACTGCACAACGATTCCAAGATGTGTTCCACGCGCAGACTGAGGACCCCAATACCTCTGCTATTCTCTCCTCCCTAAAGACGCCCTCCAAAATCCCACAAACCCTTACAGAAAAAATTGTCCAACGGTATTCCCTTGGCCTCACAGAGGGCAAGGTGGTGAAGTCCGGCGACTATGTCACCCTCTCCCCTTTTCACTGCATGACCCACGACAACTCATGGCCCGTCGCCTTGAAGTTTATGTCAATCGGAGCCTCCAAGATCCACGATCCCAAGCAAATTGTGATGACCCTCGACCACGATGTGCAAAATAAGAGCGAAACGAATTTGAAGAAGTACCGACAGATTGAAGAGTTTGCTAAGAAGCAGGGTGTGGATTTTTATCCTGCTGGGCGAGGAATTGGACATCAAATTATGGTGGAAGAGGGATATGCGTGGCCGGGCACAATGACAGTTGCCAGTGATAGCCATAGTAATATGTATGGAGGTGTAGGTTGTCTGGGCACAGCTATGGTTCGGACAGATGCTGCGAGTATATGGGCTACGGGCAAGACGTGGTGGCAGATTCCACCGATTGCGAAGGTCACGTTGACGGGTGTGCTGCCGAAAGGAGTTACAGGAAAGGATGTCATCGTTGCGCTCTGCGGGCTCTTCAATAATGATGAGGTCCTAAACCATGCGATTGAGTTCACGGGAAGTGAGCAGACTATGCGGACTTTACCTGTGGATGATCGACTCGCGATTGCGAACATGACAACGGAATGGGGTGCATTGACTGGGTTGTTTCCAATTGATGGGATGTTACAAGCATGGCTGAGGGCGAAAGCTACAACTTCGGCGCTGTTCGATGGCAAAGATACTCGATTTACACATACACGGATCGACCACTTGATCCAGAACCAACTAGTGGCCGACAAGGGAGCTACATATGCCAAATCCCTCTATCTCAACCTTTCGACCCTCTCGCCCTACGTTTCAGGCCCCAACTCCGTCAAAATCGCGACCCCATTGCGAGACCTCGAAGCCAAAGACATTAAACTCAACAAGGCGTACCTGGTGTCTTGCACCAACTCCCGAGCATCGGATCTTGCAGCTGCTGCCAAGGTCTTCAAGGAGGCATCGGGATTCGGCAAACCTGCCACGATTGCTCCAGGCGTGGAGTTCTACATTGCTGCAGCCTCTATACCAGAACAAGAAGCAGCCGAAGAAGCAGGGGACTGGCAAGCTCTTCTCGATGCTGGAGCCAAACCTCTTCCAGCTGGCTGCGGGCCCTGCATCGGTCTTGGAACTGGACTCCTGGAGCCCGGAGAAGTTGGAATCAGCGCCAGCAACAGGAATTTCAAGGGCAGAATGGGAAGCCCGGATGCAAAGGCCTATCTCGCCAGCCCAGAAGTCGTCGCTGCCAGTGCTTTGAGCGGGAAAATCAGTGGCCCAGGATGGTACGAGAAGCCTGTTGGTGTTGAGAAGGTTGTTCTCGGGGAAGGAAACGGTATTGCAGACGAGGACAGAGCTATCAGCATCGAAGAAGCTCTAGACAAGTTGATTGCCCAAGCAGATTCTATAATTGAATCTGCCGAGCAGAACATTCTTGGCACGTCAACAGCAGCTGAGGAAGAAGTGGACGACAAAGCATTAACAGCAATTCTCCCTGGCTTCCCAGAAAAGGTAGAAGGGGAGATCGTTTTTTGCGACGCGGATAACATCAACACCGACGGTATCTACCCTGGAAAATACACTTACCGAGACAATGTCTCTGTTGAGAAGATGGCAGAAGTGTGCATGGAGAACTACGACCCATCGTTCGGATCCATTGCCCGAGAAGGTGATATTTTGGTGTCTGGATTTAACTTTGGATGCGGAAGTTCAAGAGAGCAAGCTGCGACTGCAATCCTCGCCAAGAAAATCCCCATGGTTGTATCCGGAAGCTTTGGAAATATTTTCGCAAGGAACAGTATCAACAATGCGTTAATGGGTGTCGAAGTCCCGCGGCTGGTGCAGAGACTGAGAGAGCACTTCAGCTCCACCAATATCAAGGAGCAGATTGATGTGAAGGAGCCAGCTGAGAATAGGGAGAGTTTGGACAGCCCGCCACCAGCGCAGCAGGCAAGTCCAGTGGAGGAGAAAGTATTGACGCGCAGGACGGGATGGAAATTTGTGTGGGATGTGAGGAGAAGTAAGGTTTCCGTAACAGAGGGGGAAGGGGGCGATACCTGGAGTCAGCAGGTCGGGGAATTGCCGCCGAACGTGCAGGAGATCATTGCGAGGGGTGGGCTGGAGAAGTGGGTTAAGGCTGAGATTGCGAACTCTTCATGATGATTAGAGTTTCGCGAATGTAGAATACGGTACGGTAGTTTTGATAGAAATGGATCTGTACCTCTGCAAGATCAAGCTTCTGGTACGCGTTCCCGTCCGTCACTCCTCACATGCTCGATTCTCGATCGCGTTTCTACTCTAAGATGATGCGGATCCAACGGCAATTACTCACTTACCCGATTCTTTTGTCATTCCAAATCCGGCCAATCTATCAGAGTCCAAAGATAGGTAGGAAAGAATTTTCTGGCGGATGGATATTATTTTCGCCTGAACAATGGAAACGGCTCATCCGTCGGCAACTCAACTTCCGCGCCCATCCCTCTCTCGAACCTGGCAAATTATCATCAGCGCCTCTTCAGCCCAACGTGGCTAAGTTCAGCTTGGGGAATCAAGCTTAATATCTAGCGCCCAATCGAACGAATGAAAAGTGCTTGATTCCCAAATCATCCCGAACTGGAATCGCTGATGACGAGATCGATCTGCCGGAATTGGCATAGCGTGGCCGTACAGATGCAGGGTCTGCGAGGATCTTGTCCAGCCTCACTCCATTCCTATAACTTGGGTTGTACTCTGATGCATGTCTCTAATTGAAACAACATGGCGGTATGGCGGTAATCTAGAAACTATGTCTTATGGTACGGCAGCATCGCAACAGCACATCCATTAGTACAACTTCTACCTCCAGGCCGGAGGCGTCGAAAAGACGTTCCAAACCAAGCTTTTGTGGCCCCGCTTTGCTCCATCCATGACCCGTCCCGTTTAGCTTGTCCATGAGAAATTGATTCACTTCAATTGACTGATCAGAATAATACTGCTGAGGTCATTTCCCGATATCAAAATGAGCTAGACACGTAAGAGCGTTACTCGCGGAGACGCAGATCAACTTCAGGCAAATCCGCACCTCTAACATTTAAACACGGGGAATTTCAACTCTAGCGCGATCCAGACGTGCCTCCTCCAGAGCTGAATCCCTGCTAGACACCACTCCGGGAGATGGGATTCCCGTCCAGCCCAGGCACCTCTGCCCCTGGCTACGAATGACGAGATGCTAATTTGATCACTGGCACCAGTCCCGAGCTATTTTCACCAGCTTCGCGAGTCGACACGCGGAGTGAACGGTGACCTTCCATTAGTGGCTCGCACTTTCCTTGGAGCAGACTCCTTTTCCGCCCTCTTGCTCAGCAAGAAGTAATCCCCCCAAGCGAAGATGGATGGCACCTTCCCCCCCTTTGTTCCTTTGTTCCTGCCCAAATAAAGCACCTCTCGCCCATTCCTTGTTGATTTCCTTCTTTCCTCTCTCCATCTCTCACCAACACCACCCATTTTGCATCAGCATTTGCCACACTTGCCTCACCAAACCAAAGCAAATACATTCCATACTCTCCTCGCTCTCGAATATCATCGCAAGCATGTTTTTCAGAACTCTTGCCCTCGCGGCCACTGTTGGCTCTGCTCTTGCCCAGCGTCCTGCAAACATCTCCATCTGCGATTACTACACCACTGCTCTATTGAAGAACAACACCGCGGCGAACCAGAAGACACTGTTAACTCTCGTCGTCAACACTGCAGCCATTGGCAACTGTAAGTCTTCTTTTTTCCATCGTCGAGCTACTCGCTGACAACTCGCAGATACCCAGCCAAACATCGGCATCACGGTTCCAGGTATCCTTGCTCCCGCCATGGTCAATGGCACCGCAGTCAACCTCGCTCCGTATTTCACCGGCATGTTGGCGTCAACAAACAGAGGTGGCTCGATGGGTATTTCCGTCAACTTCCTTGATGGAGGTGGAGCTACCCCCCTCATGATGAACATGCCAGCCAACGACACAAGCTCAAACCAATAGCAAGTAGTCCTACCCCAGAATGACACATGGTCTAACGTTTGCCAGCTTCCTCATCAATCATCTGTACGAGTACTTTGGTGTTCTCCTCGGCTGCTCCATGCAAGGAGGTGCTGATTATTCTGCCTACGAAGGCGATGCTTCTCAATATGAAGTCCATAAGTACGTCCTTTCCTTATTTACTTCCGGCCATGGCTGACAAGATCAGGTTTATGCAGCTATCATACGCCGAGGTTACTTATTTCATTGAGCAAGTGGGCATGTCTGCTGCTTCTTTCGGTGTCGCGACCGAAGATGTCATGTTGGTTGGAACGGCTCTCATGAACGCATTCGGATACCGTTGCGAGCCTCCAATGACCATCGTCCCAGCACAAGGTCCTCAACTCCAGAGCATCTGCGATGATGAGACCTGCCCTCTCTCACCCAACGCCACTTGCGCTTCCTACAACGGTACCATCCCGAAGCCTGGGAACGCCACGATTCCCGGATCAAACTCCACCGCCACCTCGACTGGCTCTGGCAGCAAGACAACTGGCGGAAGCACTGCTACCGGCTCCGCTCCTGTAGCTACTGTGTCCACAGCCGCCGGTGCGACCGTTGCTTTCAGCTTCGCAGCTGTTGTTGGTGGTTTGGCGGCTATGTTCTTGTAGGAAATCGTTGCTGATTTGGACTGTAAATAGTATTACGGAATGCGGATAGCATCATTTCGATGGAGATGGGGCATTGAGGGGTTTTCGGAAGGAGAATTGAACCGTCATGAGGAACCAATGGCATGGAAAGCCAAGTAACTATACCACGGAAACAAACGTAATTGATAATGTTCCATCCATCTGGTGCTTCCCTCGTGCATCTGAAGGCAGATAATGGTTCATGGTTATGATCGATCGCCCCGGTTGGGGTCTGGTCGTGCCCGTGCCTCGTCAGCAATCATCTCCATTTTTCCTGCCGCATCAAGAGCAACCTTCCTTGTGTCCTCGCCAACCTCACGCATCTGCCCAATCTCCCTAAATCGGCGTTGCCAAAAACTCCATTTCTTAACCGTCACCTCCTCATTCTCAAAAACCTCTTTCCCAGCAATCAAAATCCATGCAGCAGCGACCGGGGCGCGGAAATCAAGAATCTCGACGGGGCCGCCTGCTGGATTCGGAGTAGGGTACGGTGGTTCCGCAAGCACATCGCGGAACTCGTACAGCGCGTAAAATGTGAAGTCACTATTCTTACACAGCTTTAAGTGCGAAAGATGCGCCGCGAAGTGGTGAAACGAGACCCATCGTCCTCTCTCCCAGTCGAAATTCGGATCAGAAGGTAAGATCTCTGTGTTGATTCCATTTACCTCTTCCAGCGCGAGTTGCTTTAGAAATGGCAGGTCTTGCCAGAGTCGCGATTCGGTGCCCCACACGGACGCGATGCGGTCAGATGAGAGGGAGGCCAGGGATTTGATGAAGTGGATTAGGAGGGGTGAGGAGGGGTGGGTAGAAGGCACTTGGCACGCGAGGTCGAGGAATGTGTCCCAGAGGTTCCAGAGGAAGTTTTCGGGATCGGCGGTTGTGGGGTCGGGAACGGTGGTGGCATCTTCGGTTGTTAGTTTTGTGTAGAGGGCGTCTATTGCGTGCGCGGTAGAGAGAGGTGTTGGCTGTGTTGCGGAGGAGGACGGGTTAACAAGGGCGGTGATGAGGCCAAAGACTGCGACGCAAGTACTGGACGGCTCGAAGTCGCCGTATTGTTTGATTTCAAGATTTAGGTATGGAGCCGCCATTTTTACTATGATGTTAGGGGAGGGGAGGATGTCAAGAATGGTGAAGGAAAGATATTGAGTTTTGAGATGTGGATGAGGTCGCGAAAACGCCACGAGGTTATTATTAGCTCATGGCTTGAGCAAAAGCAATGCTGTTGTACAATCCAACATATTGCAGGGGTGGTGTTCTGAAGGTTCTTGTGTAGTAGGCTCGTATAATTAATTGTCTTTTCTTAGTGAATATTAGATCGAACGATTATGGCGTCACGTGCTTCTCCCCTATTCCCACCCCTCGGCTCTCGGCACTAGGGTTGCTGGGTTGTATCATTACCCGTAATAACGTAAAAAGGTTCCACTATTACGTATCGTAATGAGCTTTTATCTTTACAGCACGTATACCCATATAAATATAGATCAGGAGGTTTAATTAGCCTATTTCAGGGCATTAAAATCGAAGCTATTCAGGAAATCGTCTACTTATATAGGGCCCTCCTATTTCTGCCTTATAATTATATCCTTATTAATTACTTACTGGGCTTTAGTAATATTAATTTCTTTCAGTCTCCTTTTCCCTAGTACTAATATAGGAATTATAGACTGAAATAAGCCTTAAAAATACTCTGCTATTATTAAATTATTCTCTAAATTAAATATTATACCTTATATAATATCTTTATTAAATATTATTTCCAAATTCTTTTATAATACCCGAGTATTAATATATATAAAAGAGAGCTTATTAAGTACTTTAACTAATAATTAATTTCGCGATTTCATATAAAGAAGGTTTATAACTAAAAAGGCTTATTCGGAAATTATAGAATCTATAATAGTATTAAGAAATTAGAAGGCAATTATAGCTAGGCTTTTATTAATAAATTACTAGTAAATTTTAGTAAAATATGAAAATTAGAGAATATATTACTTATAGAAAAGTACTAGAATATCTTCTTATTCTCTATATATTTCTAATAGTAATTTCTAAAATAAAACTTATTATTTTAATAAATATAATTAATAAAAATATATAAAGTTTCTGAATTATTATATTTATTTAGAAACTCGGAAATTTTTTACTAGCTTAATTATAGAAACTAATTAAATCCAGTATAATTATTAGAGCTAAATAAGTATATTAGAAAATAGTAAATATATATTTGCTTCTTAAATTAACTAGTTTAATTATAGCTTATATAATTAAATTACTTTCAGATATTATATATAAAGATAAAATATATAGAATTAGTAATTTTTTTAAAATATACTCGAATTTTTATCTAATAAAAATATATTATACTAATTATATTATAAGTTAATTCAAATATTTTTTATTTCTTATAAATAATCTTAAAAAGGTCTCTTATTTATCTTAATTTAAACTAGAAGTTCTTATTTTATATTAAAGCTATAATTTTCTTTATAATAATCTTTAATTTATTAATTTATAAATTTTTTATATAAAGCTTTAAAGCTTTTTTATTTTATAAAATAAACTAAATAAAATAAAACTATAGCTAATTAATTAGATAAATTATTTAATTAGAGCTAATTCTTTAAATTTATTTATATATTTTATTTAATATTTCCGGTAATAATTAAAGTAATTATTTTATTAAATATTATTATTTGCTTTTATTATAAGATATCTATTTATAGTATTAATTTATACCTAAAATATAAAATAATTAATTAGAAATTAAACCAGAAATTATAAAGTTTAAATAATATTTATATTTTAGTCTTTTTTTTAGATTCTATAATATTCTTAATAATTAATTGAATTTTATAAGAATTATATTTAATACTAAAAATATATACTAAATTAGAATCTAATTTAAGCTTTACTTAATTAGCTTATTATATAAAACAGGTATTTATTAATAAAAACCCTAGTTTCTTAAAATCTTTTTATATAATATTTAGAGTTTTTTATTTTATAAACTAAATAGTTATATTTATAATTATATTCTTATTTTCTAAGCTTTTATTATTCTAAAAATATAATATTTCTTTTATAATTACTAATATATTCTCGATTTATATATTATTAATATTTATAGACTCGTCTATAATAATACTAATATTATTTAAAAATTTAAAAATTTTAATAATTTGAATTTTTATAAAATTATAATATTAATTAAGAATTATAAAACTAAAAATATTATAATAAAAGAAAATATAATTTAAAACTTTAAAGAATTCTTATTATTCGAGGATTTTAAATTAATAGAAAAACAAATAGAATATAAAAATAGCTATATTAAATAAAGTATTAAACTTCTATTTTAAAAATATTAAAATATTAAAAGAATAAAAAGCAAGCTTCTTTATTTCTTATTATTAGAAAAACCTATTATCTAATTTTTTTTAATATTCTTTTTATTAGAGATATAAATATATTTATTAAGGTAATTTTCTATAATTATAGTATTTTATATATAGGTAAATAATATTCTACTATTATAAGTATAGTATTTAGGGCTTAGAAAATAAAATAGAAAGTTTCTTATAAAAATAATTCAAAGCTAGAGAGAGAAAACTAGAATATAAAAGGCTATAAGAAAATATATATATCCTATAATATACTAGTTCTAAAGAGGCCTAGTCTTTTAAATATTTATAGTATATTCCAAATATATTTCTCTAGTAAAATAGCTATATTATATATATTTAGGAAATATCTAATATTTAACTAAATATTTCAAATATTAGATATTTAGAAATTATAATATTATTTCTCTTTTCGAAATAAACTTATTCTCGAGCTTTATAAAAGCTATTAATTTATTTAATTTTATACTATTTTCCTTTCTAAAATAAACTAATATTTTAAATATAAATATTATATATAAAAGATTAATATCTTTAATATATAACTTAAAAGAATTCATTATTATTTCTATATAATTCTAGATAAGTATTATTTTTTATATAATTTGGCTAATATTATAGGTTTTATAAAAATTCTAATATATTAATATTATTATTATAAAAACTTTATAAAACCAGAAAACTATTACTTAGTATTAAAACTAGATATTATACTAGATTCTTATTCTAATTAGCCTATTAAATTTTATACTTTTACTTATTTCTTATTAGCTTAACTATAATAACTTATTTAATATTATACTTTTATTTACTATTTTCTAGTATTAATAGAGGCGGTTCCGGATTTATTTAATTTAATAAAGAATTCTAGAAATTCTTTTATAGCTTCTTTATATAGAAAACTAGATATATTTTTATAATTTCTAGTAGCTTTAAAAGAAATAAATAACTATATTATTTTAGAATCTCAAATAGGCCCTCTATTTAATTCCCTAGTTTCTGGTTTAAATAATTAGATTTCTAGTATTTTATAATAACTTATATTTTATTCCCGACTTTAAAATTAATTAGATACTAGTATTTATTAGCTTATATTATATATTATTCCTATATTTATTCTATATAATCTTGAGTAAATTATTATAATTTATATAATTAATTTACTAATACTTTAGCTTTATTTCTATTTAGTTTCTTTTTAGGTAAACTAGCTTTAATAAAAGAGTTCTAGTTTAGAGAAATATAAGGCTTATAATTCTTTTTAGTTATAAATAGAAACTAGCTAATAGTTTTATATTAAAGAAAAATTTATTAATAATTAATTATAATAATTTATTTATTTTAATTATTCTAATAATAATTAATATATAAATATAATTTCTAATTAAAATACTAATTAATAATTTCCGTTTATTTATTTATTTAAAAGTAATTAGCTATTAAAAGCTTAAGTTTTATATTAATTCTCGTATAAAATTCATTTTAAAAATCGAATATAAATTAGGGTTTCTAATCTAATATAATTATTTCTGAAATATTTATTTAATATATTATATAAAATAAAAATAGAAATACTAGCTACTTAATTATAATTATATCTTATACAGGAATTATAATTAGATATTTAGATAAATAATTCACGAATATAATAACTATATTATAGTCCGATTTGTATTCTAGATAGCTTTTAAAATTTATAATAATATATTATTAAAAATAATTAAAAACTAGAAAGAAATAAAGCAAACTAGGCTTTTTATTTCTAGATATATATAATTTCCTATAAGTATAGTAATTACTATAATATTAATTAATATCTTTTACTTATAAATAGCTAGTAATATTATTTCTTTAGTAGCTAATAGAGCTTTATATATTTAGAATATCCAGAAAGAAGTTTATTATATATTTTATAAAAGTAGTCTAGGAATTATTTTATCTTTTATAATATAAAGTTTTCTATAATATAAGAAGAGGCTATTTTATAGTATTTAGATATTACTTTTAGTTTAGACTATTATATATAGCTTTTCTAGATTTAGTAATATATAATTATTTTATAGAATCTTATTTATAAATTATAAGCTACTATATTTAATAGAAGCTTCTAATAGTATTTTAATAGAAATAATTATAATAGAGTTTATTAGTAAAGCTTTTAAGAAAATACCTTTTTTTAGGAGAATTATATTTCTAATAGAGATATTTTTCTCTAGAAAGTCTTTAATATATATTTGATTTTTAGAACCAAATTCCGAATTAAATAAACCGACTTTATAAAATATTACTATAAGCTATAAGTTATAAAAAATCTCCGGATTAATTTTATTTTTAAAGAAAAATACTTGAGTTTATAGCTTTTTCTTAATTTGGTTCTAAATATTTATTTTATTTTATTTTTATAATAAAGTATTTATTTATTTATTTAATTTTCTAGAATAATATATAAGCTTAAAATAATAGTAAAATAAGAATTTAATCTATTTAGCTTATTAAAAAGAAAGCTTTTTAATAATTATAAAGTATTCTAAGATATAATAATTAAAATAGATTTTAAAAGAAGTATTTTAAAAGCCTTTTAGTTTAGTTTTCTGTTTTTCTAATATTTATATTATAATAAGTATTTTCTTATTATATATATTATAATTAAATTTTATTAGAAATATGGTTTTAGAAAAATAAGCTATAAAATATTAAAGGTCTATTTCTGAGTTTTATTAAGAAAATAAGCTAGTAATTACTTTTTTAAATATATTTATTTCTATTATTATAAGTAAATCTGAATTATAGTATTATAAAACTAAAATAGAAATTATAGCTTTTTTTTTAGATAATTAAAAGCCTTTTAATATTACTCGAACTATTTTAAAAAAAAATACTCTTTTTTATAAGTAAAATAAGAGATTAAATAATCCGTTTATATTTTCTAATAAAGTATTTATAGAAGTTATAAAAACCAAAAAAGAATTATATATTCTTAATTATTTTTAGGAATTACTAGTTATATATTATTTCGACTTTATTAGAATATATTTTAATACTAGATATAGAAATAATAAAGCCTAAATACTTTATATATATAATTTTAAATTCCGATTTCTTAATATTTATTTAGAGGCTAATAAGATATAAATAATCTAATATTTTATATATATACTATTTGTATTTTATTAGGTTTTCTAAATAAATAAGAATATTATTAAAATATATTATATAAAAGTTATTTAAATATTTGAAAAATATATTACTTATATAATATTAATATATAGCCGGGCTATTTATAAGGCCTTTTTAAAGAATATTATATTTATATATTTTATAATAAATACGGAATATTATTAGTTTCTAAGAATCCGGATCTATAGCTATATAATAAAAAGCTTAGTAAATATCTAATTTAGTATAGATTTTAGCTTTAAATAATTAATTTAAAGTCTTATTAATAAATAGAAAAAAATATTAATTCTTTTAAATAATATTATTTAAATAATAGAAATTAATATAAAAGTATAAACCTTTATTTACTTTCTTTATAAAAAGAACTAATAAAGTAAAAAAAGCTTAATTAGCTTTAATAAAGCCTTTAGCTAGATTATTTTCTAAAAAATACTTGATTTTTAGAAGCTTTTAAATAGATTATTATTAGAGAGATTAATATTTAATATTTTTAATTCTTTTTAGGCCTTTAATCTAAATCTTATAATTATATAATTTATAGAAAAAAGAAATATTAGATTTCTTTTTAGAAAAAATAGAGATATATTTCTTAAGTTCCGGAAATAATATTCTCTAGAGCTACTAAAGCTCTATTTCTTCTAGTTATTAATTCTCCGAATCAGAAATAGTTTTTTCCCGAACTTTAAGCTTTTTATTAGTTTTATAAATAAAGATTTAACTAATAATATTATCTTTTTTCTTAGCTATATAATTAAATATTATAGAAATAAGAATAACTAGATCTAATATTTACTTTTTATTAAAAACCTTTTCTTATTTCTTTGGCTTTTATTTGAGTATTATATTTTAATTAGGCTATAAAAGCTCTTTTTTTATAATTTTATATAATTCTTTTTAATTAGTCTAAAAAGAAAAAAACTATTTAAAAATAAAAGATTTCCAGAAATAGCTTATAATAGAATTTCATTAATTAGTATTTTTTTAATATTTTTTATTAGGTTATTTCTTTAGCTATTACTAAGAAATACTAATAATATAACTAAATCATATAGATTTGGGCTTATTATTTAGCTATATAAGCTTATATTTTCTATAATTAACTAGAATATTAATATATATAATCTATTTTTTTTATTAAGAATAATATTATAATTTTTAAGATTTAGAATAATTATAGATATATTAATATTTTATTTATTAATTAGAAATAAGACTTTTATATATTTCTTAGTAAACTTAACTAGTTTTTTATTAAAACTATATATAATATAGGATAAGAAAAAAGATTATAGTTCTATTACTAAGAATTGCTTTATAAGCTAAATAAGTTTTATATTAATAAAAGTATAATTATTAGCTCTAGTATTAATAAAAAAAGAAAACTTAATTTCTAATTCATTTATATTAATAGTATAAAGTATTATAAAAGTATTTCCTTTTATTAAATAAATTAAATTAATCTTTATTAAATCTATATTATAAGCTTTTAAAATAGAGACTTTTTTTTAAAAATACTCGTTTTCCGGTTCTATATTAGAATTAGAGCTCGAATTCTTTAAATATTTTACTAGAATAGAAACTAGATATTTTAATAAAATAGAAACTAAATCTAATTCAATTCTAAAAAGAACTACTTTGGTTTTCTTACTATATCTAATTAGATAATACTTAATATAATAGTCGAACTCGTTATAGTTATAGTATTTAATAATTAAAAGATCTTTAGTTTTTATAAAATATTACTTATATTTATAAAAAGATATATATTTAATAAAAGTAATTAATATAGGCTCTTTGAGTTCTTTCTTAAAAATATACTTTTTAGGAATATAAAAGAATATAATACTAGAAATAAACTTAAATAAAATAACTATTATTTTCTTATATTCTTTAGTCTTTTTATATATAGCCTTAATCTATTAATTATTAGTAATATAATACTAAATAAAGCAAATAATATTAATAAAAGAATTATTATAGTATATATATATATATTAATTCCTAAAGCTTTAATAAAAGCTTCTTATTTAGTTTATATTTAATATCTTATAGACTAATGCTACTTTCTATAAATAGTTATAAAAAGAGAATATAGAACTTTTAAAATACTTAACTAAAATATATTTAAAGCTTATTAAAATTATAATAAGTATTTTATATTTTATTAGAATTAGAATATAGTTTTTTTAGATAGAAATATAACTCTAAAAACTAATAGTACTAATTCGAACTATTTTTATTTATATAAGAATTAGTCAGAATAAAAATATTACTAGTAAATTTATTAGAAATATAGATAATTTTAAGATTTTCTAAGAAATATAAATTAGTATTTCTTTATAGTTTATTTTTAATCTAAATTAGCCAGTTATTAAAAATAGTATAATTTCTAGTAAAAAGAATTAAACCTAGAAGCTTAGTAATTCTAGTATCTCTAAAGAAAATATATAATATAGGGAATTCTAAATAGAAATAAGTAAGAGATAATTCGGAATTCTTTTAAGAAAGATTTAAAATAGCCGGAATTATAGAAATAATAGAAGCAAATAAAGCAAAAGTAATTAAAGCTACTATAAGCCGATTTACTATAGCTATATAGTATTTAATATTATTTTCGAGCTTGGTATTATAAAGCTTAATATTTTCAAAAAGGCTCTTAATATCTTTATAGCTTGTTTTATATAAAATAGCCTTTTTAAGATTTTTCCGGTAACTAGTAATAATTAAATTAATATCTAAAAGCAAGTAATTAGCTTTCTTGGCTCATTTATATAGTTTTTTAATAGTAATAAGCTAATTAATATATAGGAACTTTTTAATAAAAGAAGAAGCCTTTTCCTTTATAGATTTGTCTAAAAAACTTCTAGAAATATTAAAGAGGCATTTGGTTCGGAAAGGGCCGCTAATAGAATAACCTGAACTAATAGAAGCCTTAGAAGAAATTAATATTATTTCGGATTATATAATATTCTGGGAAATTAACCTATTATACTTTTTCTCTATTATATTTTCTCTAGTAGTCTTATTATTAGTATATATATAGGGCCTATAAGGTTATAGAATAGGGCTTAAGAATAGTAGTTAAGTTACTGGCCTATAGATATCTATTACTCTAGAACTTAATTAAAGAATAGCCTTTATTTAAGGTTCTTTAATTTTCGGGTTTTCGGAAAAGTTTCTAATATATTATTAGTATATATTTATAAAGATATAAATACCTGATTTCTCTAAGGGTTCTAAAGCTTTTTGCTTTTATTATTCTAGAATCTATTACTCGTATTTCTGAGGTTCCGTTATTTTAGTAATACCCATATTTCTAATAGTTCTGAATTAGTTTATTTGAAATCCTTTATAGAATTAAAGAGAATAAGCTTTGAATACTATTATGGATATAGTATTTAGGGCTTGAAAAGCAAGATAGAAGGTCCCTTATAAAGATGATTCAAAGCTAAGGAAGGGAAAACTAGAATACAGGAGGCTGCGAGGGAGTATATATACCCCACAGTACGCTAGTCCCAAAGGGGCCTAGCCTTCTAAATATCTCCAGTGCATTCCAAGCATACTTCCCTAGCAAGGCGGCCGCGTCACGTGCGTCTAGGAGGCATCTGGGAATCGTGATATCTGCTATCTTTGTAATAGATATATTAGGTAAATAGAGTAAATTGTCCATCTTTTGAGGGCTCCTTTTTAAAGGCATTATAAACCCAATTATGTTTAAGAGTATACTAAACGTTATTGCCTCCTATTTTGTTAATTATTTTGGTACTAATAATTAATAATTAGGAGAGATAGAGAATTCAGGAGAGAGATTTTTTACTGCCGCCTGCTTACCGCTCGCCGGATTAGGCTAGTACGTCACATGACTGTAATATAAGGTATAAAATGCTTTTATTATTACAATTACGGTGGTAATAATAATATACTTCTCTTTTACAATAAAGTGGCAACCCTACTCGGCACACTGCCATACTTCACGGCTCAATTTTATTTCGTGCGCTTTACACCTGACATTCAGCTTTACTCTCCTCCCATTACCGGCTATGCAAATTGATCAATGTCACTTTATCTCATACTTATACCTATCATACGCTTGCTCCCGAAGCGGCACCTACATTTTATCAGTCTCAAGTTAACGCCACTGCAACGAATCAAATGCTTACCTGTAGCCGAAAAGAGTGTCCAAATGGCAGCAATCGCTGCTAAGTTTGGCGGACAGTATCTGGAGGACAATCAGCAATAATGGCCATTCCTGCAAGCAGAAATACCTACGCATCTCCCATAACCTGAATGTATCCTACCCACCACACCCATTGAGCAATCCAGCATCCAAGCATTCCAAAGAACGTCCATTTAGTCAAAGTTCTCAGCCTTCTGGTCTCGGGATCAGCATCATCAGCTCTCGACCTCTCCTTTTCACGCTCCTCGATGAGATGGTCCCATTTCCTCAGCGTCCAGCTCCATTCTGAAATGGTAGCATCCCATCCAGCGATGACACTCGCGCTTGCTTCACAGCTTCGAGTTAGGGTCCCGATATCAATCTTTGTCCTGGCGATCTTTCTTTCAAGTGGCTCGACCCCAGTCTCGAGAGGTTGCATGCTGGTAAAGAATCTACGGGCTGCGCGAATCGGATGCCGCAGTTGTGCGGTCGTGGTTGGCAAAATCTGCAGTTCGAGATTGCGAAGTTGGGTTTTCGCCTGCACGAGTTGTCTGTGCAAATTATTGAGGGTTATGGCTTCGGCTGCTCTTGTTGACGTTGCTGCATCATAGCCCCGTTGGGCGTTATCCCTGAAGGTCGGAAGCTTCAGCGATAGATCTGAGTTCTCTCCTGAGCGTCTGCTGCGACCAGACGAGTGACCATTTTCGTAATAACGTGTATCGTAATCGGTGACTTCCTTGTACCTATTTCCTGACTCTTTCCTCGCGAACTGAGTGACTGCTTGTCTGACACTGTTATGGTCTTGAAATGGTTGCAGACACAAAACGCTGAGATTTTTCTCCAGACTTCCTAGTGATTCTGCTGCGAAGCTATTCTTACTCAAAAGAGTCCGACAGTCGTCCCGATGTTTACGTGCTTTCACGGCGAGTCCATTGAAACTTCTCCCAAGCTGCAATAGATAAGTGTTAACTCCGAGGACAGTCCACGAACATGCACCAATAGCGAATATGAAGCAAGCGAGCCACATAAGTGCTCCAGCGTACATGGTGATTGCATCGTGGCCACCTTGTGCATGACTCAGTACGCCATTATTGAACAGCTTTTGCAGTCTGGCAAAGGTCACTGCAGAACCCATGCTACAGATTTGTTAGCAGATTTATTTGGGTAGCAGGAATATGAACTTGCAAGTAAGCTGAGGCTAGCTGCAGTATGACTTCGGCAAATAAAGTGGATGCAGCAGCGCCAGTATACATTGTTTTTTCGGCGTCCATAGGCATGAGATAGAGCATCACCATCCACGCAAGCCTTGGTCTTGTACACCAGAGTAGGATCAATTGTCCAACATTGACTGATGCGAATCCCGGTGTTCGCTGGATCAAAATTGCGTTGACTGCATTGCTCAAGACATGTAAGCAAAGTGTCAAAATACCGGAAATCCACCACAGATGCATATCAGGTTTGCCGAGCAAGCCAAACGTCACAAAGAATATCACTGATCGCCTCCCCAAGATGGGCATGATGATAGCCATTGCAATATTTACTGCCGCAAAAGCACATAGCTTCGCACCTGTCGACGGACAGTGAGGCCTCGCAGGTGTTTCGGCCGCTCTCTTAGTCGATGTACCAGATTGCTGGGATGGTGGCGACCAGCTGACGTTCCAATGCCAAGGGATCAGGTCTTCTCTAAGAGGATAGTAGAGGTGATGCCAATCAGCAGGAAGCCCTGTCCATTGATCAACCAGAGAGCACGTAGTGTACATCCAATTCGCGAGTTCTCCACGCTCCCACCAATGGTTACAGCTGTTCAAACACGTTTGTCCGTATTGAATGGATTTGCAAAATTCCGGCCAGTTCCACGCTTCCGTGGGATATGTACAGTTCGAGGGGGATTGACACCGGAGAGTCGTGTTTTGCTCGTAAAGAGTCTGGTTCACTGCCTGCGAGCACCCTGTTCCCACAGTGCAATTCGGATAAACGGCAATTGGAGCTTGATCAACTGCCCAATATACAAGGCGGTCGATAAATGGGAAGGCGCCATTCCATCCACTAAACTGAGAACATAGAGTGCTCATCCATTGCATTAGCTGACCTTGTTCTGAGGGAGGCTGGCAGTTATCGCTGCATGTCTTCCCGTACTGAATGGTGCTGCAAAATGCTGGCCAGTTGACCGCATCCATTGGCTTGGCGCAGTTCGAGGCGGACTGACACCGGAGACTCACTTGGTCTGAAAGTGATTTGTTCACTGCCTGTGAGCATGCCCCGGCTGCGCAGCTCGGATAGGTTGCGAATGGAACCTTGTCCGCCGGCCAATACGTGGTATTGTCGATGAACGGAAATTGCCATTCCATCCGCTGAACTGTGAACATAGAGAGCTCATCCATTGCATCAGCTGTCCCTGTTCCGATAGTTGCTGACAGTTGTCGCTACAAGTCTTCCCGTACTGCACGGTGTTGCAGAAAGATGACAGACTGATGCAAGGGGGTGTAGATGTACATTCCCCCTTCCTTTGTTTGATCGAGCCCACAGCAGATGGTTGTAGAGCGATTCAGGGATTCAGTTAATGTCTGTCGACATGTCGAGTCCATACAACTCAAGTAGGCGGGTACCGGTGCCGAGTCGAGTGCAAAGTATTTCGAACCATCGATAATCAACAAGTTAGCCTCCCAATTTGCAGGCATGCCAGAAAATGAGGAAGCCCCTGTGCAGGTTCTATTGACCCAAGTGTTGTAAAGAGTGTACGCAAAGTCAACGTTGTCTCCGCACATCCCAGAGCATTGATCCTGGTAGACAGATCCACAAGCACAATTCCTATCCAGGGACACCACAGAATCAAATTTCTTGGAATAGAAGTCCACAGTGTACCCTTGATTTGCTAGGTAGATCTCGCTGGAGTTGACAATGCAATTGGTCCAAGCAGCGACGTAGTTGCTCTGACATGAATCGGACCGATCCACGTAAGTAGGAATCCTATACGTAGGTTCAATGTTGTACGAACTCTCAGCATTGGATAGACCTGGTTTGTAGCTAGAAGTGGTGCTGCCGATAGTCAATGTGTCGATGGAAGGCGAGTTGGTAGTCCCGTATCCGGACGATATGCCCATACAAGTCGCATAGAGCCAGTTCAAGTACTCCCTGTTGTGGACAGGCGTGGCGCATGCCGCCGAACATATTCCCTCATTGAGCCCTTTACAGACACAATGTCTGTCTATCTGATCTCCATGAGAACTGCAGATTCCAAGGAAGTGATGGTTGCACCTATTGACTGTGCAATCTTGAACATTTTGCCAGCTCCAACCGCATGGCCCTTCAAATTGAGTGCGCATGCAGGTTGGAGTATCTGGTATTTGTGAGCCCGGACCCTTGGAACCTGGATTGAGCCAATCGGGGGGATCGGGGATGCTAATGTCTGCCACTGATGGCAACGCAAGTAGGAGCACGAAGATGACAATGTCTATTGGCAAGTCCCAAAAGCACAACGCTGAGGGTCTATTCAAGGCTGCCATTGTTGCTTCAAGGCTGAGACTATAGAATGCGCTCCTAGTTTGCTTGGATGCGCGGGTAGTTGAATACAACTTTTTTTCCCTTTGTCCTCAGGTTGGTTAGTAAGCTCGCCGCTTCAACTCAGGCGCTAATCGCCCTTGGCTCATCCTCGGCTCACCAGGCTCACCCGAGCAGCCTAAGCGGAGGTACGAATGGCGCAAGGCAGCAAGTGGTATGCCTAGCGTCTTAGCTGTTGCCCGTACACACACTGTAATCGGGCGCATGTCTGATTATGACTCAACGAAGGGACACGATGGCTGAAAGTAAATTAGGTGAATTGCTTTATATTTCATATCCGCCACTTGTTATGACATACATTTTCGTTAACAGATCGCGGTAATTGCCCTATCTGCTGACAAATTGTCATTTTTCAGGCTCTTTGTTATACAAACCTCGTTTAATTTGTTATGAGAACCATGAATAAGCCGCTAGTTCGCGAAAAACGATCGAAGTTAGGATACCGAGCTTTGGACAGCGAGCTGAGAGAAATACGTATTCTTTCAATCCGGTCGAATTCCTCGTTGGGAATAGAGTGCAGTCTTGAGCATGCCTCATTGCTCACTTGTCCACCATACAAGGCGCTTTCATATACCTGGGGCGATCCTGCAGATACGACCGATATATTACTCAACGGCTGCTCATTTCCTGTTACTCGAAATTTTGCAACAGCCCTCCAACATATTCGGTCTTTCACGGAGACTGTTAGCTTCTGGATTGATGCAGTCTGCATATAAGTCGATTGATACCGAACTAAACACCTCCGAAACTTGAGATTTTGACCTCTGTTTTCTGAGGAGTTTCGTTGCGCGCCCCCGGCAAATACTATAATATTACTTCCTCTTTGACCGCTTTGCCGGAGTTATATTAAATGATGTTGATCGGCCCAATTATTTCCTTCAAGCCCCATTCATCATTTAGCATCTCTCCATGCATAAAGTCATGCATGTAACAAGCCCCATTAAGAGCAAAGTCTGATGGGCCGCCTTTACCGCGAAGCACAAAAGGCGTACGTCCATCGCATAAAAGCCAGACCTGGTCGCCCTTCTGAACGGTCTCCAGGCCCAAACCTAGCATTCCTTTCTCTGTTCTAAAGAGTTTACGACCACAGGAGAGATAGCAAAATGGGGTAGAAAAAGTACTATAAGCATCCTGCAGTTCCCTCAACTCCCGTAAAAACTGCCCGTCGTTACTAAATAGCTTGAGTCCCTGCTCAGTCTTTGAGTACCAGTCACAGGGCTTGTCCACATCTTCCCGAATTCTCTTTTCATCTGGAGCCCCCATAGTTTCCAGAAGGTTTATCAACTCGGAAAAAGCAACATCGTGATCTATGCGTAGAGAAGCCTTATATCTTTTGAAACTTATTTGTAGTGTGAACCAGGCCATGAAGTTATTTTCAAATAAGATTGGAGCATTTCCAGGATCACTGGTGTCATGAGTATTGATAATTAGAGTCCTCCAAAATAATTCCATCCTTCGGCGACCCCTAATTTCCAGAGGCATAGAGAGGTAAAATCGAAGGAGGTCTCGAAATGCTGTTTCGGATTGTATTGCATCTGCCAGTGTCCCAAGTTGCACTTCGTCTACTGTATCGAATTGCGCGCCATAACATCTCAATGTTGTCTGTGTAAAAGAAAATCCTGGGAATTGACGTCTTATAGCCGCAGACGTATCCGAACCTGGGTTGATGCTGCATATATCGACTGTTTTCTCTGCACAAGAGTAGTCAATAACCCACGAGGGAAGGTTGAGCTTCAAAGAATCGCTGGAAGCCCTTCTGGTATCCGAAACATAGCTCAATGCGAGTGAGTGCGTCAGAACTAGCTTTGTCACATGAGTGAAAAGTTCGTTTACTGGGATGTCGTAGTTTGGTGATATATACTCTGAGATGGAAAGGCCAGGGAATGAGTGATCAAAGACTCCCAGGATCGAATAAATCTTATCGTGTACCTTCAAGCACTCAAAACTTCGACAGGAGCTCAGAACTGCAGTTAGCCACCACACAAACTCCGAGTTCTCTTTCCACCGGCCATTGAGAAATCCCTTTTGAGCGCTGTCACAGAAAGGAGAATCCTTGATGGATTTCCATATGGACAGTTCTTTCAACAATGGACCCGTAGCGTTGTTGTCATTCGGATCTAGCTTGATCTGACTCTGCCAACCAAGCTCCCTAATACTATTAGAAAGCATACTGAGTCGGTCGAAGGACAGCTCTATGTTCCCGCAAAATAATCTGAGATTTTGGGCTAGAACCACCTCCTGGATTACCCAGGCGCGCGAAAACCATCGACAGGACTTCCAAAACCATCCAATCCGACTAAGCCTGTCACTCGAGTCGACCATGCTGATCTTAGCCCAGAAATTGGGATCTCGAAGTGGACGAATATAAAGACTAGATTTGTTTGCTTCTAAAGCAGAGACAAGGCTAGTTGTACCCCAGACAAGGTCATTGATGCCTCTATGAAGAGGTCCAAGCCACCCCAAGACCTCCTCTGCCGAGGAGTAAATCTCTCCCATCATGATCACCTGAGAAGGTACCTCAAATTCATCTGCTTGGTTGATGCAAAGAGCATCAGCCCATAGCAATTCAGCTACATTGACCTGGGTGAGTGCAGCCAAAGCATTGAATAGATTCTGTGCGACAGCCACGTGCATCCCATTGCAGGTTATGGATTCCGTAAACTCAGATGGGCATTCGGTTTCCTTCTCCTGGGTGTTTCGATAGGGCGCACCCCAGGTATATGATAGAGCTGCATAGCGAGGATTTAAGAGGAGCGATGTTTGGACGATCTCGAAGGATAATGAATTTGAGGATCGGGAAAGAGGCTTCAGGAGCCTGATTTCATTGGGATTCAACGGTTGATATTGAAATCCCATTTTGTACATGTAAATCAAGAGTAGAAAATTCTGTTGTAAGGCTGGTAGACTTGGTGTGTGATGCTTCTGTAGTGGTGATGTCGCCGATGTTAAAATGAGAAGCTCCAAATCAGAGTTTTACCCTCGCCCGGCGCCGTCACGTGCTTATCATCCATTTGTACCATATTAATAGCTGAAAAGCGGCTGGGACTTCTGGTGTGCATCTGACCAAATGCGTTAGTGTTTAGGAAGAAGGGTCACTATTTATAGAAGGGGCCGATTTTGAACACCGAAGCAGGGGTACGCCTGCAGCCCTCTAGGGTGTGTTAGGTTGGCCCACGTAGGTTTGTATTTGCACTTTAAGGTCATCGCGCTTAGAGTATTTTATTTTGGCGTACGCGCCTTGTCCGTATTATAGACGGAAGTACTCCTAATTACAGTACTACCAATTGGAGTACTCCGGCCTGTACTACGCAGATTTGATTTACTAGAGATCAAAGCACATCAAAGTTTGATATTGAAACATAATGCTACCCTCTTTCCAGAAAATCAAAGTGCATTTTCACCTGAATAAATAATGTAAATGCTGTTTAATATAACTGTTCAAGTCGAGAGGGTATGATTTTATAAGACAAATGGCTAGCGGAAAATCAGTTTTGGCGGTCCAAGAAGCTGCTGGGGGTGGTGACTTGCTGATTTCTCTCGTCGGGATCAATGCATTCTGTATTGACCAGGAGGACACTCAGGAGCGAAGCGAGCAGGTTCAATATATGAAAGCCATTTATGAACATGCCCAGGAGGTAATCATTTGGCTAGGTCCGGATAGAAACGACGGCGTCTTTGCAATAGAAGCTATGAATATGGTATCCGATAGTCAGATAATATTAGGATCAAAATCTGGTAACCCTCCGGGCTTTGTACCTCCTACTATTAGTGACAGGTTTTTCAAGGTACTAGATCTGCTTCTTGACCGAGACTGGTAGACCCGGGTCTGGGTTATTCAAGAAGCTACATTTCCGAATGAAACCTATTTTATGTGCGGCAGATATAAGACGGAGTTTACAAGAGTTACTATAACTGTGATTCAAATATTGTATTCCAGGATACTGCAGGCATTACGTCCTGGCTCCGAAACTCCAGATCTTGTACGCTTCCAGAAAGTCATAAGCTTGTATAGCATCAGACAAGGCCGAATCAACCAAGACGGAGATCTGGATCTCCTTCACTTCTCGACCAATCACGAATACGCAAAGCATCCGACTTAAGTAACAAATTATACGCTTTGTTTGGGCTTGCAACCAATACTCTAGGTAGAGAGTTAAACCCAAATTACTCGATACCGATTAATAAGGCCTTTATACGGTTCGTAGATAGGATAATAGAGATACAAGGCAATCTAGATATCCTTGGATACTGTAATGGTCCTGAGAGCCCGGAAGGCCCTAAAAGTTCCTATCTGCGTCAGCTCTTGAATCCGATTCTATCTTGGGTACCTAATTGGTCAAAGATGCTCGATGTTACGGCCTTTACGAAGAAAAATAATCGCAATAACACCTATATTGGAAAGCTTTATAACACTAGTAACAGCTATCCTCCAGTCTCCCAGCTTCTCTACGAACGCCGCATTATGCTTCTACGAGGCTTTACGTTCGATATTGTTTCGGAAGTCGGCGGAGAATATAATCATGAATCTGGGTCGTTGACGTTACAAATCTGGAAAGCGTGGATTTCCAGAGTTCTTAGCAGGACTTACCAAGCAGCGAATATAAACAGGGAACATCCCACGTTTGATAGTACTCTGTGTAATGCCTTCCTACGCACTATTATTGCAGATCTTGGAGAGATGGGGAAAAGACTTCCTAAATTCCAATCTGGTTTGACTTGGCCTCCCAATGGGAACATTGAGACCGAGCATCTTCTTTCCTCAGCTCTGAGAGGTCGAAGACTTTTTGTATCTCAGCTCGGATATATAGGTTTGGCTCGATATGATGTGGCAGTAGGAGATGCTATCTGCGTAGTACATGGTGGACAAGTTCCATTCGTTTTGGAAAGAAAAGAGCCGTACTATCGATTCAAGGTGGAGTGTTATGCTCATGGTTTGATGGATGGTGAAGCTATGGATTACCCAAAAGTCTGGCAAGACTTTGCGTTACGATAGTGATCTCTGGGATTGTGGCTAGATATTAAACCAGGAGATTGGATAGAATTTTTCCACAAGTTTTACTGCAAAATTACATGATCTAGGATTGGAAACTATGAAAGCTATTATAATTACATCTTGTTTGGTTGCTAGCTTCGGCCACTATAGCAGTAGTATTTGCATATTTATCTTCTAGCGAAAAGTAAGCGTGCAGGCACGTATCTGTTACTCTACGAGCTCACTAAAGATGGGTGGCGTATTGTAGGGATGAATATCGGAGCTTGGGGTGACTGACCTGCCTGGAATGTAATACCTGGAACCTGGGGGATACTAGCACTGGATGATGAGACGATTAAATAAATAATAGAACTGAAGGGTAAATAGTCGCGCTGGAGGATTTTCACGCTTGATGAACAGTCACGCTCAGAGGACGTTCACTCTAATATTCTATTTTTGTATAATATTAAAGCTCAATTCCAAATTCTTTTTTTTTGCATCTTCCATTAGATAGTGTCGCCATTATTATATTTAGTATTTATATCTATGCTTTTTGATTCTAGAAGCGCTTTGAAATAATCGCTCACCCCCTAGCCATGCTACTCACTATGCCTGGCACCAATCAAATAATTCCAGAAGATCCTGGGACATCGCGGCTCATAGGAGAAAAATCCTGGGAGAATAAAGCTTCTGAGAGAACATAGCATCTAGGATATTATTGGTCCCGGGACAACGCGGCTTGTAGGAGGCATGGCGCAGTCTGGAGCCAATATTGGTCCCTTCTCTTAAAATAGCAATTGATGTCACACAACAAATAGCACAAACTTTAAATAACTTTGTTATATAACAACTTGTTGTACAACAACTTGTTGTACAACAACCTGTTGTATAGCTATTTGTTGTATAATTATTTGTTGTATAATTATTTGTTGTATAATTATTTGTTGTATAATTATTTGTTGTATAATTATTTGTTGTATAATTATTTGTTATATATAATAACTTGTTGTACGACGACTTGTTGCATATAGAGGCATTGTGTGACAGGCTAGACTCTGAATAACTCAGGAGCATAGGTTTAGATATGACCGTAATTAATTAAGGAACACATGAAGAGCTAATGATATAATGGGTGCCTCCCTCTTATCAAAAACGTTTCCTGTCCCTCGTTCCATCCCTTGCTCCACTCTATAGGCATTGCGCAAGGGCGGGTTGCAAGGACAGCACGTAAGGGGTATGCGAAGACTCGTTCCGAGCTTCATCTAGGGGTTAACCCCTCACATATTGAGTTAATTACATGATTCAAAGATATTGATAAATCTATAACTGCAATAGGCCGGCCCGCAGATTACAAATCGGAAATTATTAAAAGGTAGTGTAAGTTCAAATATTATTATAATAGTATGAACATTACAATTAACGTTGTTCTCTTAATTACTGTTACGATTCGGCGTTTTTGGCCCTTAGAATCATATGACCAGTACACGTGACTTTTTACATGTATATAAGTCCAGCTGAGGGGCCTAATTCCTCCTTCTTTCCTTGGCTTAAAATCTCGCCAATAGAGTCAGTTAATAGTAAACCTTTCTGCGAATTTGACTACACGTCTGTGAGGAAGTAAATGGTAGGCGATAGGGACGATCACGTGAAAGCAAGTGAAAGTGAGAATGGTATCAATTGTAGTACGAAACTGATCTCTGCCTTTCTTTCTCAAGTCAGAGATCAAGGTAATAAGAACTGCTACAGTTCCGGAACTTCCGGTAAATACTGTCACACTTTCTGAAATAAAGCAAGTGTGCAACATCGCTTGTCATAACATGGCTCTCAAAACAATAAGGAAACAATGCCAAGGCATGTTCCTGATCCTTCGCATCACCTGCCCGATACGGCACATGTGACGCTCACGTGCATTCCCATGGAAAGCCATATGACACTATTTGAAGTTGAGCACGAAGCTCCTATCTAAGGAAAACTATCTGCTTATATAGAACTCCGTGCAGGTTGGACCGTCGTGGACCGCCATAGACCGCCGTGGTCCCTAGCGTTCCAGCGTTCCATCACATGACCGCAGTCACGTGATTCTGGTACCATGGCTTCTCTGTGCAACCAGTGTTGCCGAGCCTCAGGGCCATGGCAGCACGTGCTACGTCACAGGTGACCGTAACAGCTACCTTAATAATTCATTGGATTTTCTATACGAAGATTCTAAACTAAGGAGGGAAGAAGCCTTTAAGAGGGAGAAGTGTGCTTATTTATACCCAAAAACAAGTCAGATATACCTGTGTCACATGACAAGCGGGAATTCCTACTTCGTGGCAGCCTCAATCTAAGGCAATAGTGCCGAATCGCTATATAAGGAGCTTTCTAACAACCCACGATAGCTTTGACAAGAAGAATATTACTAGGTTGCTAAGCATCTTTCAAAGTCCCAAGGTTGGCTGCCAGCACTGGGATTCTAATAATCACGGGCCTGTGCTAATACTACGATCGTGTTGATTTAACTTCTTATGCTGGTATTATGTAAGCAACATATTCTATCCATCGTAAAGGCCACTTAGGCTTTAATCAACTCTTTTAAACACTTAGAACTAGACGACTGCGCTATATAAACACCCTGGACTTTATGAAATTGGTAATGAGGCTAAGCTACATGTCACGTATGAATAAGCAATAGGTCCAAAAATGGTTCTGGAAGAATCTTGGTCGCAAGGGAGCCAAAACGGGATCTGTGCTTAGAGACAGGACGAGGAAAGTGTAGCCGGGCATCAAAGGGGTCAGAACAAGCACCGTTGGTACTAAAACGACCTCTTAATGCATGCTCAGGCTGACTGTACCGTGGGCTCAGATTGCTCAGGGCGTACTCAGGAACGGCTCAGGTTAAGGCAGCAGCTGCTCACGACCAGACCCTAAAACGGAACCAGCGAAAATAAAAGTTGAGTCTGACTTATGTGGTAGTCGATACACTGCTTCTATCTGAGTATAGGCCATTGAAGATGCTTGAAATTTCTTAATTTGCCTACAATTGAGAAGTGACCCCACTAATAAAGTTGGGAAGTCGATGCTGGGAGAACGCGGAAGGAGGAGAGGGCGAGCAGAAGACAAGACGAGAGGTAGGACACGCACTCTTGTATTCGTGGCTTGGGAGTGCTCGAAGACTCAGAGTACATGGAAGCGATTAAGTGAATCGAAACCCAACTTTAGGTGGTATAGGTTTAGAAGTATATATATTTGTAGAGTACTTATTGGACTATAGTCGAGAGACGTTGGATCTGACTTCTGAACACAAAATCCGAATACCATTCTTCTTTATATATCATACCAACTCAATTACCTCTTCCCCTGCCGCCTTCAGGATACCTTGCAGTCTAGTATCAAAGATAGAACCGACTCCTAGTCTCGAATACTTGCCTCTACCCTGAGGCTCAAGAAAAAGAACATTATATACGACAGGAATTTCCAAACCAAGGACTCGAGCCAGAACCGCCGTGACAAGACCAACGCCATCAGTCGATGAGATATGGAGAGCTAAAACCACAGTCGTCTCATAACGGCAGAGCTGTTTCTGAATTTGCGGTCTCTCGAACGAGCCATATCCTGCAATGATTCCAGTCTCCTGCGGCGAAACGACGATTCGCCAAGCTTTTGACGAGTCAGCGGGCACGGTGTGGAAGCTGTGTCCTGGCACATTCGCTACGAGTCGAAGATCCTTTGTGGAAAGATTTGTCCCGATGTAAACAGGAGTTAGACGCCCTCTAACCAGCAATGACCCTGGCGCCAGCCTAGACCACCCCATATCCTCGGTGTCGCTCTCTCCTGAATTATCTTGCTGCGGTGCAAGCTCCCGTAAGTATTGTACTCCACGTACGGGCGAGTTCCCATCTACGGACAGCATGTGTCCTTCGGTTGTTTTGAGGCCGATTACTTGCATTTCGTTTCTTGTGCGGGCTCGCCTAGGCAGCCAGAATATAGGGAGTAAGAGTGAACACCAGGACCACGACGACGCAGTAGAAACTTGAGCTTTGGCGTCTTCCGCAGCTACTCGATCTTTCAGGTGCCAGAGCAGACCATAATGGATATCCTCAAGCCATAACCCCGACACATATTCCAGTGACACATTAGCTGAGACTCTTTCGTTGGCTGAGGCCAGCGTGTTCCGAAATTCCTGAGCGAGTCCAGAAATCGCCACCACGTAGTCCTTCTCTGGGAACGTGAGTGTCTGCTGGGAGTACTTCTCGACAATGGTGTACCAAGTCGAAAACCTATCGGGGACAACACCTTTCTGGCTTTCCTCTCTGATAGCATATTTCATTTTCAAGACCGACTGGTACGTGCTGAAGCCTGAAGACTCCTCGGCGAATAGCACCTCGTTATTCTCGTTTTTTGGCCGACGGCTCTGGCACTCAAAAACTAGTTGGTTTTTGGCGAAATATAGAATGCGTCGACTGAGGAGCCACTCTTGAAACACCCAACCTCGGGTGAGAAGACCTCGATTGTAAGTATCATAATGGCTTTTGCTAGCATCAAACTCAGGTATATACACGAATATGTGTCCCTTTGGCACGCTAGCCACATCAAAGTATGGCAGACGTACCAGGCGTTTGAACATCGCGTCCTTTGCTCGGGCTAACAGAAAGCCATCTTCTTTGGAAGCATCAACCGCAGCGACAGTCATCAACGAGTTCCGGTAGTACACGGCCATCTTAGAGGCTTCTAAATTCCAGTCCTTCTGATCATCACCACTCTGAACGATGCAGATGGAGTCGATCCAGACGTATTGGATGCGCATCCGCCGGGCGACCTCGATGGTATCGAGGAAGGTTTTGGTGAGCGTCTCCCAGCCCCGTCCAATGCGTCTTTCTTCCAAATTGGACATAGTGGTACTCGCAGCTGGCGTCTCCTCGTTCCAGCGATGGGTTAGGGTGATATAGGAGCCAACTTTGTTGCCGGTCTCGGATAACTGAAAAGTCCTGCCTTCAATGAGCTCCACGCATCGTGTTGGCAATGGCGAGTTTCTGGGATCAATAGATCTTGATCCCGAAAGATGAATCTCACACGCAGGATGATTGAGACAACCATCTAACCATGTCCTAATAGCTGCGAAGTGATGGGGAGACTTGGGATCGCTGCCTAAATACCGGCCGACAAAGTGACCACTCTTCGCAGCGGGACTACCTAAAACAATAATTGTTATCAAGGACTTCAAGTGAAGAGAACAACACAGTAAAGAAGAATATCAATACCTTGACTTGCAACGAGGCACAACTGCACCGGATAACCCCCAAATTCCTCCTTTGTGAATGTTGCCGTAAGACGACTAAACTCATACCTCGATCCATCGCCCATCGAGTCTGCAGTATTGCGAAGTGACAGCCAGATTCGACACTGAGAGTTCTGCGTCAGGCTGGCAATCTGGGACGCGAAGTGGTCACATAATAGCGAGCAGAAATCGCAATGGCTGCGTGCGTTCAGCAGGTCACTCAATCGGAGGCAGACGGATCCCGATGGTCTTCGCCAGAGGCTGTATAGGTCGAAGCTGGCACACGACTGGCATAGCGGCATTCTGGAGGAGACGTAATCGCAATTATTCCTCGCGATGTTTGCACAAAGGCGTTATTGAAAGTCGAAAGTTGAAAGGCTGTTGGCAGGATGAAATTTTCAGGCTCGGCAAAATACCTGAGGCATCGATACTGGTATCGATACTGTATGGGTATTGGTCAGGTATTAATAGTATCGATAGTATCGATACCAAAATCGATTCTTACCCCTAAAAATTATCTCTTCATTTTATTATTTAATTTATATAAGAATATATTCATACGTAATTCCTTTAATTTCTAGTCTTTCCATGAAAAAAATTTATTTACTATTATTAATAAAAGTTAATAATATCTTAATTTTAAAAATACCTCTCATATTCGGAGAATTAAGCCCTGTATTTGTATTTCTTATCAAGGCACTAAATATATAAGCGAGCCTTACGAAAATCTCAAAAGCTCATTTTTACTTAAAATAGCTATATTGAAATGGGCTTTAGCCTAAAGTATAAGATAAGTATCTAAATAGAAAGCCTAAATTAAGGAGAATATTTGTATTACTAAAAGTTTTCTTATAAGAGAAGTGGTTCTAAAGTTAATTGTAATTAAAGGGGAAAATTAGGTTCGGGGAATCGATACTAGTATTAATACTATTAATACCTTATAATTCTGGCATTAATACATATTAATACCTGAAATTTAGGTATTTTTGCCGAGCCTGGTCCAATGAATTACAAGGCTGGCAGCCTCGTAGTATATTTATTAGACAGAAGTTTTTTTTCCTTTTAATATACTTTATTAGTTTTCAACTATATAGCACGGCTTATATAGACTAGACGGCCCATATAAAGCAGTAGGTCAGCTTTTTAAGAGGATAAACTAGTAAAACTCCCCTCTACTTCTATATTATATTCTATTATGACCTATAGTCTTCTCTATACAGGTATCCGGCTCCTTGCCTTAGAAAGAAATAAATAAATACCCCAGGTCCCTCTATCTCGTATATATATCTTTATATAAAAGGCTTTCTAGACAGATAGTAGTTACATCAGGTCCTCCTATCCTAGGCCCTCTCTTATATATAAATAGTTATATATCCAGATATTAACTAGTATTCCCGGTAGTCTATTTATGGCTCCCTTTCTTATCTGACTAAAATCCTCCCTATCCTTCTTATAGACTATAACTATAACCCGCCTTTTTCTCCTTTATATTTTTATCCGGCTCTTTGCTCCAGTTATAGGTATATATTTAAACGAGTTATAATATATAAGAGGAGGTCGAAAGTAAAGGGTTATATCGTAAAAAAAATTTCTCGGATCTCGATCGTAGGTATTACTCGCAGGCGATCGTAATGGCGTTATCGGGGTCTCGACGTCGAAGGTCGTAATTCAGTCTTAGCCTAAGAGCATGAAAGCCCTTGGTTTCCAGCCTGCACTGCGTGGAAGTGCTGAATCGTCGCAGGCCGTCGGACAGAAGTGCTCTGCCCCTGAACTACCAATACTGGACGCCCGAGAGGTATGAGGCTGAGACTTCCGGGTTTGAGGCGAAGCCTCGATGACAAGATTGCGCCTGAAACAATTGATGGAGACACGTAATAAAGCGCTTCAATTGATGGATTGGTTTTCAGGTTGATTAGCCTGATTATTTAAGATGGATGGTTTACAGTGGGCTTAGGTAAGCCTGGAAAGCACACCTGTTGCACTAAACTTGACACTCGAGCCAATCCCGGGCCCACGGTGAGTAGCTGAAAGTCATAATAAGAGCCCGGTTTTGCGCCCCTCCGCTGGTGTCAGAAACCAAATTGCCTGTATATACCGAGGCCGATAGCGATGCTCCTGCCAAAACCCCGAAATGACATTGCATAATGCATTTGCGCACATCGCACTCGATACTAGAAAATCAAAATTTAATAATTAATGATTCTATTACTAATACGTAATATCCAAGCCTCATTAGATATATTTAAGTCATTTTGGGCTAATTGGGTAAAGCAGATAGCATTGATTCTAAGAATAATTCAAGTTAATGGATTGTGGGGGTGTGAAGCCTGTCATTCACGTGACTCACCCCCCCTCCCCAATGCCTCATAGTACTGGAAACCTGACAGATTTATCTAATATTAAATTAATAATAGAGATATACGTAATAGCAAATAATTTGTCCCATTTATACGCCTCTTTAAGCCTTAGAAATACATGTGTTTCTAGGCTATAGATATTCGGATAGGAGTACTAGTTCATTTACTATTAATAAGTATTTACTATTAAATCTAATTAGTCAAAATATATTGAGAATAAAATGCTACTAATCTAGCTTTACGGTACTAATATGCGTATAAAATTAGTATAGAAAATCAAGGTAATAGTTAACCCGTTACTTGCTATTAACCTCGCTATTTCCAGCTTCCCTATAGGTTTTCCATTCTTATATTGGAATGTGGATAAAGAGAAAGAAAGGGAGAGGAGGAAGAGAAGATATATATAAAGATTTAAGGGAGTGGTTGTTATATATCGGGGGTGCTAATTTTCGGCGATTTTCAGGCGATTTTCGGGCATTTCTCCCCTACCCTATTATATCCCACCCTACTATACTCCACCCCGTAGGCTTTCTATTTATATACCGGAATATGGATAAAGAGAACGAAAAGGTAAGGGGAAAAGAGAGAAATATCCATTTTTGGAAGAAGTAGTTATTATATATCGCGATTACTAATTTTTAGACGATTTTCCCGCGATTTTCGGCATTTCTCACCCTAATTAATATAAAAATACTACTAATTACTAGAAACTTGAAATCTCTATAGTATTCATTAACTAGCTATATGGCAAGAGTATTAGGGTTAGTATATAATACAGATTATATATAGTCTAGAAATCAAGTTTATTTATATTAACTAGCCTCGTTTTTCTAATACCAAAATACTAACCTTTAGTACTTCGTAATAGTATAAATTTGGGAGCTAAATTTTAAAATAATATTAATAGCAAGAATATATGTAATAGTAAAAAATTATCTTATCTTTTAGCTTACTTAAGTAGAAATATATATATATTTCTCTACCCAAATATCCGGATAAAAGAACTATCTTATTTACTATTATATAGCCTATTATTATTACGTCCGGATTTTTTATAGAGATTAAGAATATAATACTACTAATTCCGCTTAATAATACAAAAGTATATATAAAATTAGTACAAAAAATAAAGGTTTTGGCCGTATCTATACTAGTAAAAGTGGTCGATAGTAGTCTTTCTATTATAGGGCTTCTAGTTTAGTATTTTGCATATTAAGAAAAGAAGTAAGAAGAGAGAAAAAAAGGGATATATATATATAAGTAAGCAAGTAATTATAATAGTAGAAGAGTTATAGAAATATGGGGTAAGTCATATAATATTTACTTTATATTAACTACCTCCTTGCCCCGATTATTTAAAGACCCCTTTACGCTACCTGACTCTTCTTTCTTATAACTATTTTCCCATTATTATATAACCTCTATATAAGCTCTTGGTATATTTTAAATAGGAATAATTTATTAAAAAATAATCCAGATTTAAGGCCTATACTAGCCGCCTTTATCTTCTATCTTCTTAATACCTTAATATCCTCCTTTAATATAATTACTATGGCCGCTTATATAAATTAAGATAACTTCCTAGTTAATAACGAGGGCAAACTTCAAGTTACTACTACCCGGATAAGCTACTTCTCTTACTAGATAATATATAGGGCTAATATAATTAGCTCTGGGCTTATAGGATAATAATAGAGCAGAATGAGATTATTAGTATTAATTAAGTACCCAAAAGACTTCCCAAGTTTCGGAACTATAACGCAAACTATGCAGATACTCTTCTAATTAGTAAAGTACTATATAATTATCGAGTTTTTGAAGCTATTCTAATTTAATACTAGTAAGTCATTTAGCTAGCCTAGCTATGGGACTTTCCTAATTAGGTTTAGTAAAGTTTTATAAACTACTAACCCGTATAAAAAGTATATAAACGAGTAAGGAATCTTTATGGGCTATATTAAGCTAGAGGATTATTATGGCGGCATATATAATAACTATAAGAGGCAAGACAAGGGAGCCAATTACAAAGTGAGAGATATAGATAAATATGAGTTTAGGTATATAGAGGAACTACTAAAAGAGGAGTATAAAATAGCAAGGGGAAAAAGAACTATAAAGCTAGTTAACTATAAACCGGCCAATAAAAGAAAGACTTAATAAATAAAGCCTGGTTATATAGTAAATAGGGGGATTTTATATACTTAAAAATACCCAAAAGCATGGCTTTCATATATAGAAAAACGCATGGAATTTAATTATCTAGTCTTAATTCTATAAGATAAACTAAAACTCTAGAAATAGCTAGTTAAGAGCCAAGTAAGTAAATGAGTTCTAACTAAACATAGCTTGGATCTAATTATAGTAAAAGATCTAATTATTCCTTATAGTTAATAGGTTTAGTAATGCGTTTTACGCGAGTTATATAATAGAATTACTTAGGAGAAATAGGCTCAACTATCTCTAGGCGCTAGTAGGGAGCAGGTATTTTCCGATATTTGGTATTAGCGGCAGGAGTAGGAGTAAGTGATTAGGTCAAAGGCAGCGGATAGTTATTAGGCTCTAGAGAGAAATTAGAAGGTCTGGGAGATAGCTCTTCTAATATAGGCATATCAGATTCTAATAAGAATATAGAAATTAGGTAATTAGACGAACCTATAGTAGGCTTCTCCGAGGCAGGTTAATTCGTAGTTAGGTTAGAGTTCGCTAGTAAATCGGGATTCTAGATAAATATATATTAGAAAAAAAGAATAAGAGAGAAGATAGGTTTGTATAATTATTCTAAACTCTGCCCGAGGATTAATAATAGTAGAAAAACTAGAAGTTTCACATTCTAGTCTATCTACCCCAAAAGTTACTCCAGGAGTTTTACTTCCCGGAGTAACCAATTATGCCCTAGAGTTCGTAATAAAGGAATTATTAGGATCAAGAATATAACTAAGCCAAATTAGCTCTTTATACTTAGTATAATCAAGTACTCTAAAAGCGTTATAGTCGGATATATTACTTGGTACCCGTATAATAATACTTGCTCCAAGTTTCCGGGTACTAGTAAGCAGTGGCTTGAGGCCATGGATATACTTCCCAACTAATTAGATTATTAATAGGGTAATATTATAGGGCTTGGGGTTCTCTTTACTACTAGAACAAAGCTCAAACTACTTCTTTTGAGACTAGAAAGTAATATAGTCATTATATTATAAATAACTATAGAACCGGCATTCTTCGAATATTGGCCAAACGTGCTCTAATATGAACTCCTTAATAGAGGAAATAGCATGGTTTTGGAAGTAGTAAACGTACTCGGCTATAAATATTAGCAGTTATATAGTATAAGAAAGGAGGGGGAATATAATTACTAGCTTCCCTATACTTTAACCACGTCTTAGTACCCTCCCGACAGGTATCTGGCGACATATACTCGAACTCACGTATAACCTAGCGTATTAGAAACTTCTCTAGTACTAATTATGCCTTACCCTTCTCCCTTTTCCTACTAGGGTTACTCATTAGCTATATCGAGGTCACAGGAGTAATAGAGAGTAGCTTTGCAAGATTACCCATACGTTAAGAAATAGGAAGTTATCTAGTATAAGGAGGATTATATACTATAGTAATCAGATTATCTCGACGTCTAGTACTCTGGATTACTTGAGATCCTACTATACTAGAAGGGCTATTATTAGTAGAATTGGCTCTATTTCCAAGAGCGTAAAATCCAAAGGAAAAGGGACGAGATAGACGAGATACCAGAACTTGCTAAGGGCCGCCTATTAAAGTAGATCCGGAGGGCAGCTATTAAAAGGCATGGGTGCTAGAAATAGGCTAGCCAAGAAGAGAAGAAGAAGCTAAAATACCGCCGGATATTACAGGAAGCTAGCTAATACCAGGTTATATAGGGGCAGTGAAATAAGTAGTAGAAATAGAGGTTTATAGACCAGATTTGGTATTATTAGGTCTATGAGTACGGCACTAATCGCAGAACTCAATAGTAAACCTATAGAAGCGCTCCTTAGGATCTCGGGCCATATTTGGGCAGGTGTCTTGCTATAGAGTTATATATTTCGAAAGATTAATTAAAGTTGGTTCGGATATTATAATTGAAATTTTGAGGAAAGTTAAGGGATTTGAGGTATAGAATTAGTTATACGAATAGCTAGAAAGTGATTTCTATAAGTAGATAATAAAGAAGTTAGGGAGGGAGGTATATATCTTATATATCCAAGCTAACTAACCCTTCCTAAGACTACCCGTAATCCAAGCCATTATCCCCAATATAAAGAAAGCCTTCCGGGAGGGTTGGCAGTATTATAGGTTAGAAAGTCTGACCGCTCTATAGTACCTGAGCTCGGAAATCAAGATTAGACTAGAAGATTTCGCTCAGGGTACCTCCTCTTATAATAGCCACTCCGTATCCCCCGCATGAAATAACTGATTTAGCTAGAACTAGAAGTACTATGGCATATATATAATTATAAATTATAGCTCAAAGCATATAGTATATATAAATATATAAAGGAGTATTACTACCTGCCCTAATATCCGAGAGCTTTAAAGTATTAAGGTTAATACTATAGGAAAGTAGAGCCTGGCGGCACTAATTAAGTATTACTAGTAAGAGGTACTTATTAAGATCTACGAAAATTAGTATATGAAGTAAGCTAATAAATGACTAAAAAAATACATGAATCTCACCCCAATACTCGTAATCCTCAAGGATCCTATTATAGAGGTTTATATCTATAGGTTAACTGTACTATTCGGCCCCTTGCTTTGGATACCGGTAAAGGAAGAAGGGCTTTCCCGAGACATGATTTTGGTATATAGAATCTGCCCTAATTATATATATATTCCACAAATTAGTATATCCAAAGACCTCGTTCCTAATTCTGGGTATATAGAGCACTAATAGCGCGATCTAATCCCATAGGTTCTAAGAATTATACCACCCTTTATTTACTAGTTCTATAAAGTAATTCTGCAAGTGGATATTAGCTAGATTATATATATATACCGGAATAAGATTCCGAATAGCTTTAACTAAAAAAAGCGGTATAATAAGTAGTATAGGAAAGCCTAATTTATACGCCACCGAAATAATTGGGAAATCTCTAGCTCCTACTACCAGGATTTAATATACTAATTCTTAGTGCTTTTCCCGAAATAGAAATAGTCTTGGATATAAAGAATAAAAGGATCTATAAGACGAGAGAAGCAAAAGTATGCCTCTATAATAAGAGGAAGCTTACTATCTTTATTAGCCCGAAAGAATATAGGAATATAGCCTAATTAGGTACAAGTTATAAGATACTACTATATTACTAAATAAGATATGCGATTTAATATACTAACGTAAACCCAAATAATAGCCCGAGAATAGGTATTAATATATACATAAATATTAATACCAAACGGAGATAGCTTATCGTGCCTATTAATTGACTAAATATAGTCTGGGCCAGGTATAATATACTTCCCCTTATTTAATTATATCCTTCTTATTCATTAAATAATAGCTTCGGGGTTAAGAATATGTAATATTATAAATAAGGTATTTCTATATAGAACCTAATTAATTAGACTATATACTTATAAACTGAGATTATAAGAAATTAACGGAAAATAAGAGAAGAAGATACCAAGTAACTAATTAGCCATTTTTTCGGAAATAGTTATGTAAAAGCCTCCGCCCATAGCCTTTAATTTGGCCATTATTGAGCTCTTCCCGCAGGACTTTAAATAGCTAAGTATCCCTTTCTTTTCTCTTAAATACGCCCATTTGCCATAGAAGCCTAATCTCTCTCTATAGACACGTTACTTAAAATTTATTAATATTATATCCGTAATACTAAAGCTCAATAACTATCTTATTATTAGTATAGCTTATCCTAAATAGTATAGTAATCTGAGTACGCAGATTTGGTATATCTTGAGTAATTATACGTCTGCGAATACCCCAGAATTATAGTTATTAATAAATTATTCTTTCTGAGACTATCTAGCCAAAGGTAGTTTTAATATTTTGGGCGATTTCTTTAGTTATATAGTAGGCCTGCGTCTAGCTAATAATATAAGCTCGGATTAGGTCTAGATCTATCCTTGGGCGAGGTATCTTAATAGATTTATAGAGGGTTATGGTTATTTTAATAGTTTTAATGATTTTCGTAGTATTATTAATGAGGGAAGTATAAAATCGCGATTTCTGGGAGTAATTAAAATTAGGCGAGGCTTACTAAAAAGCGCTAAATTACTATGGTAACCGAGCGATTTTCAGTGCATTAACCCCCCCAAACTTTGCGAATAATAAATAGTTAATATTAAAGTATATTTATTACTAATAATAATGGCGAGTAATATGTGTAATTAATTCTCGATTTATAATTAAACCTTAATACTATTAGTTCCAGGGTCTAGCCCTAATTAAATACAGTATTTCTAATACCTAAAGTAATACTAAAAGTCAAGTGCAACGTGCGAATGCACTGCGCAAAGTGCGAATGCGCTATGTGCAAAGTGCTAATGTCGAATGCAATTAAAAATCGGGGTTTTGGCAGTACAGGGGTTAGAGGCCTCGGTAGTATATCGCACACAATGAACGAAGAGATCGATCCACGAGCAGTAGCACCAACCTTCGCAACATACTTCGAAGCAAGGCCGTTCATCCGACCTCGGCGCTGGATGCTCACCCTGGAGTTCGTAATCCTTTTCGGCGCCATCTCTCAACACCTACCTCTCTGCGTAATTGGAATCTGGGATTGGGCCAGCTCTTCCATTTGGCTACAAAATGATGTTACAGATCCTCAGCTCCAGGTATTTCTGAGAAGCACCTGGTACATATCGATCGTAGCGGCCATGGTTGTCCTTGTCATCGTCACGATCTTCTCGGGCGAGTGTTTGGGGCCGGTCTTCCTCGGCCATCCGTTGGTTCTGGATGTGGTGTTGACGACCTCTGAAGCGGTCCTCTTCTCCTCAGTGACGGTGGCTTACGCGAGCAATATCGGACGCTCGTCGAGTGATGGATCTGACTGGGTCTCGTTGATCGTCCCCGTGCTCATGCTCGAGACGGGATTTGTATTTATCGCGTGCGTCGTCCGGACGGGCACCGCGTACTACGAGCTGCGGACCTGGAATCGCACGCGGAATCAACGCGCGGGAGCAGGGGATGGAAGCCCTATGTCGTTGGGAGACATGGAGGATGTCGAGGAGCCGCTGCTCCAGGCGTACCGGGACCAAGAAGGAAGCGGTGAACTTGTTCTTGAGCCTACCGTGCGAGTACACCCTCGCCTGCACCACCTCCGCGACAGCGTCCTGCTCGTGATCATCTGGCCCCTCGCGTGTATAAGCCTCGTCGACGTACTGTTTGCTATCTTTGATGTGTCTCTCCCTAAACCGAGAGGTATCTGTACATGGTATGTATAACTTCCTCTTACTCTCGCCTAACACTTACTAAAGACGCGTGTAGGGTAACAATCATAACTTTTTGTCCCTCGATTGTTTCCTTTCTGTACATTCTTATTCTGGGAATTTGTATGCGGCACCGATGTTTAACGTACAAGATACACTGTCTTATGCTTCTAGTTGTGGTTCTTTGGTGGGTCTCCGAGTGGGTTATTAATATCTACTCCATGATCCCCGGATTAAGGCCACACGAACCAATATATTATCGCAGACTAGGTAATTTTCCTCAATCAATGCGGATACTCGGCGAATTCATTATGGCATTTACTATCATTTTTTACTTTTTTATCTCTATGCTAGCTACATAATATATATGTATTTAAACATAAGCCTTGGAATACTATAATGCAAGTTTGGAGGGGAACAGTGTATCAAAGGAATACTCAGACTACTCAACTACTCAGAGTAGTTACTTATTGAGTATTAAGTAGAGTATGACTACTACTTGGTAATTAGTAGCTGAGTAGAGTAGAGTAATTACTCTGAGTTACTTAAATAATAGATCACGTGAAGTATTCTTTTAATTTCTTGCTCGTTTTCTTATAAACCTTTCTTTTTGAGCTTTGTTTTTATTTTAGCTTTATAAAATTATATATCTTGTCTTTAAGAATATATTTAATAAGACTTTATAAATAATTTAAAGGCATTTTAATTATTATGTGGGTTTTAATACGTGATTTGACTTAAAAGCCGAATAAGCAAAAAGAGCTTAAAAGTAAATAAAAGACAATAAATTTAAGGCTTAATATAAAAATGAGTTTAAATTATAATTATAAACCTTTTCTTCTTTCTTCTTTCTCTTTAACTTAAAATATAAAATATATTATAAGCCCATATAACTTACTACTTATACTACTCTGAGTTACTTAAGTCTGGACTCAATAAGTATTAAGTAGAGTATAAGTAGCATATAAATTCATTGAGTAGAGTAGAGTATATAGCACTATTCTACTCTACTCTACTCATTTGATATACTGAAGGGGAAGATGTAAAAGGTAAACAAATCAATTTATAAAGCCAAATCACTTCTTACTATAATCCTCCTTTTCCCACATTCTCAAAACATTCTTCTTTACCTTCCCGGTACTAGTCTTCGAAAGCTCGTCTACAACCTCCGCCTCTAAATATAATTGCATGCTGTCACAGTTCAGGTTTCGACGTTCTGGTCACCTGACAGGCACGCACGTGGTGCGGCCGTAGAGCTATGGGAATGCGCATGGAGATATTTAGGACGCTAAGCCCCTTAGGGGCTAGCGCACTGTGGGTGCACTTATGCTCACAGCCTCCTGTATTCTAGCTTTCCTTTCTTTAGCTTTGAATCGTCTTCGTAAGGGACCTTCTACTTTGCTTTCCAAGCCCTGAATGCCGTACCCGTAACACATGCAACTTGTTACGAGCCTGGTGCCCACTAGTCTGTGGATTACAGGGCCTTTAGCGACCAAATAATCACTGAAGCAAAACCTCGACTTTTGCAAATAAACTACAATAAAATAAATTACTATAAAAAAATCAACATTCACTTCTTGTAATCATATCCCTCGATATTTTAAAGCATTACAGTTTGTGGTTATCGAATATAACTTAGTTAAATATCGCGATTTATGTTTTGCGAGGCCTGAAAATCTCGCTAAAATCCACAGACTAGTTGGCACCAGGCTCGTTACGAGACCGGGTGTTACATTAGCTGTATATATTAGCAGCCGACGCTAGGGAGGGCTACTCAGCTAGCTACCCACCCATAGAGAATAGATTATTTTTCTGCCCTACTCTGGCCTTTACTATTATTAAGAGCTACCGGGATATCCTATCCTGTAACAGATTAGTAGTAATATATTAAAACGATTTTTCAGGACTACTAGAGCTAGTAAAATATAATTCTTTTACTAATTTTATTAAATGAATACAGAAGGAATATACTACTACTTACCTAATAACCCAGACGCTTCCGCTTTCTTTTCTCTTTCTTTTCTTATTAGATATTCAAAACACTTTTGCTTATTATTAGTAGGTATTAATAGATTAATTATTTGGCTTTCAGGTACTTACCGAATTCCTATAAACGGCAGATATTATTCTTATTAATAACTCGACTATATTTCTCTTTCTTATTAGAGGTATTAATTCCTTAATTATAATTATTAAAGATTCTTTAAACGTTTCCCTATATATATTTCTAGTACCTGCTAATAGTCAGGCGAGTAAATCTACTACTAATTCCCGCAAACGACTCCGATTAGTTAAGTTCTTATAACCTACTCTCTTTTAAGTTTTTCTTATAAATATTACTATATTTAGTTATTACGAATCCTATACCTTCCTTATTACTATTAGATATAGAAATAGCTTTATTAGTAGCTATTTCCGTACTAGAGGCCTCTAAATACTATTCTTTCATATTTAATAATAAATATTTTAATTACCTGAAACAGAATATAAAATCGAAAAATAGTAAAAAGAAGAGACCTAATTATTATTAGCTATAAGAGAGTATTATTCCGGAGAAATAAATTAAATATTCTAAAAAGATATATAAAAGAAATATAGTTTTAATTATAGAGCTTTTAAAAGCTAATAATACTAGAGCTTTATATTTATCTGAGCTAGATAAGCCTATTACTATTAGAGAATAAGAACGAATTAATATATACTATACCTTAATAATAGAGAAATCTTCCCGCTTTAGCTTTTCTAATATATATATCTTATTATTACTTTAATAACTTAATAAATAATTAGTCTAATAGTAATAATACCAAGCCTTTTAATATATTAAAAAATTATTTATAAATAATTCATAAATAATTTAAATAAAATATAAGTAATAAATATCTTAAATAACTTAAATAAAATAGAATAATTATTAATAAATAATTATATAAAAGTTATATAGAAATTAATTAATTATAATTAATTAATATATATTTAAATTTTAAAAAAAGAATTAAGGTATTTATTAAATAGCCTTATATAAGCTAAGCTAATACTTATATAAGGCTATTTAAATACTAATTTTCTATAATAAATAAACTAATTATTACTATTATACCTATAGTATTACTAGTAAATTTAGTATTATATAACTATAATAATACATATAGCTATACTAGTATTTAGAATACTAAAGCTCTTATATTTAAAAGCTTCTTTTTTTAGTTTAGAATTCTCGTAATAAGAGCTATTTTATTATATTTTCTAAGTCTAGAAACTAGGCCTTATAATAATTACTAAGGTTTAATTTACTTACTAAATACTATTACTAATAGTAAAGTAATACTAGATATAGGCCTTTTCCGGAGCCCTATTTATTTAGGCTATTTTAATTTTATATATAAATTATATAAATCATTTAAATTATTAATAAATAATTATAAATAACTTAAATAATATATAAATAAAATAAAAGTAACGGGTTTTAAACTTATATAAAATAAAAGTAATAGCTATTATTCTATTTTACTCTATTTATTTAATATACTAAAGCCTTTATTTATTAATATTACAAGTTCCCAAAACTATATTTCTGGCTTTTAAAATGAATTAAATTAGTATATATTAGATAAAATAAATATATACTTTTATTAGTATATTTATATATTTAATTCTTTTATATTTAAAAAGTTTAAATAATAGGAATCTGATTTTACTTATAGCTATATATAACTTAACTATTAGTTTACTAGTAATATATAATACTATTAGTATAGCTATTTCTTTAGGAGTTATATATATAGTTACGGGATACGGGATACGGGATATAAGTAATAGAATATAGGTAATAGGATATGATTATATAATCTCGTATCCTATTAGTGACTTAACTAGTAGACTAGACCCTTTTAGGCTTAGCAGATTTAGAGATTATATATTAATACTATAATACTATAATTCTTACTTCTAAATAATAATAATAACTTTACTAACTAATATAACTAGTATTTCTATACCTATATAATAGTACTATATATTACTAGTAAACCGATATTAATTAGTTTATATATATAGATTAGAGAAGATTTTAGATTAGTCCTAAAAGTATTCGGTAGCCTAAGACAAATCTAGTCTATTCTATATTAAAGGGGGGAACTACTTATTAACTTTATAAAAGTATTTGGTAGCCTATAAAGAAAATATCTAGCTCTTACTAATTAATAAGTAATTAGCTATTTGACTATCTATCTATTTAACTTCTATTATTTTTTAAAACTAACTTCTTTTGGCTCCAAGACTACCTTCTTAGAAACTATCTTTTCCACTTATATAATACCCGTATTTATAGAACCTTCTCTCCGGAATATATACCCTATATATATCCTTAAAGCTCTTTAACTACTACTTCGATTTTACTATTAAATTGAGTTCTTTGAGCTTCAGACCCTCCCGGAATTATAATATTTTACTTCCTAAATTTCTTATTACAGACGAAATATTTAAGAGCAAAATATTTACTTTAATACTTTACTAGGTATCTGGCATCTCAATAACCAGATATCTGGTATCTCAACCAGGTATCTAAACTAGGTATCTGGTATCTAAACCAGGCATCTAAACCAGGCATCTAGATATCTTTATTACTAAACCCTTTCTATAAACCTACTATGAACTACCTTACCTTTAAACCCCTCCTGCTACGAACCATATATATATACTAGAGAGAACCTGAACTCGGTTTAGTATAGATACTAATAAGGGAAAGAAACTAATTAAGAAATAAGAAAATAGTATTAATCCGGTAACTATAATAAAGACTAAACTTTAGAAATATGTAACTACTAAGATATATTAGTATATCTTATATAAGAAGAGTAATAATAATCTATAGGATCTATTCCAGGATAACTTCAAAAACTTTAATAATATAATATATAATCTAATTAACTATATACTTATATAAAATCTTTAAACCTAACTTTACTATAGTAGTATCTATATTAAACAGAACTATAGAAACCTTACTATTATATAATTCTTTATTAATCTTATCTAAGAGAAAATAAAGAATATATAAAACG